CCCCCCCATCCCCTCCCCTCCCCTCCCTTACCGTGTTCTGCCCTGCTCCCTGCGGCCACCGCGCCGGCGCTGCACGGTTCTGCGCGGAGCCGCTCCCAACGGCGCGGGGCCCGCGAATGCTCCTGCGCGCCCGCGCTCTCCGCGCCCCCCGCCCCTGGGAGGCCTTCGTGAGAACGATCCGGGTGCACGTCGGATGACCCGATGGAAGAGTGGCAATTCGGTGCGCAGTGTCTTGGGGCGCGAGGGAGCCGAATTCGAGCGCGCAGGCCGCTACAGACCGCATCGCATTCAACGTTCGGGGGGGGGGTCCGTGGGCCCCCGCACCGGAGTTCAGTCTGGCGAAGGGTCACGCTTCCGTGCGGTCGAACGAAGGTGGTCGGGAACCGTTGCTTAGCGTGTCGTGGCAGCGGCCCCGGCAACACGCTACGCCTTGGAAGCGGATGGCGTGCCGCTCCGCTTCGTGGGGTGGGAGGCCGGGAAGAGTTCGGCAGGTGGATGCCTGGGGGACCGAGACATGGATAGCGTGACGCGCCGAGGCGTGGTGGGTCACAACGATTGGAGCGACACGCTAAGCCAAAGTTCCCGACCGTAAGAAATGACAATTTCCATACAAACGTTAGCCAGCGCGGGCCGCAACCAACGATCTCTTGCAATATATGCGGCGCAGTCTAAGTGGTGCAATCCATGCAGTGCGCACTAAATCATGCAATCCATGCGTTGCAAAGTCATGTCGAAAAGCTTGTAGTTATCAGCCCAAGTGTTCGCGCAATCATCCCACCCTCCCACCCGCGGCGGCGACTGCGATGACTGCTTGGCGCTGGTTGGCGCATCTAGACGGCCGCGCTAGCGCGTGCAGGCTCGCGCGCACAGCGCCCAACTAGATTGGCACAACCGACGCGGCCGCGGTGGCGCTGACGGACAGAGGCTTTCCAGCGCGCCTCGCAGGCCGCGCTGGCGCGCGAACACTTCAGTGCGGGTCGGTGACTCGGGCGGGCGCGGTACCATGGTGACGTCGAAAACGGCGGAAACGATGATGATAGTAGCGATGATGGTGACGATAATAACGATGACGAAGGCAGCGCCAATGATGGCGCCGATGCTGGTCATGTCGGTGGATATGATGATGTTCGCGTGTCGCGGATGAAGAATTGAAAGAATTTCGACATGCTCGCGAGGTCGCCGCGCGCGAGTGGCCCGCATGGTATTGTTTAAAAGGGGTCCTGCCCCCCCCCCAGCAAGAGCGCAAGGGCGTTCGAATGATTTCTACATGCGCGCGCTAGAGGCCCGCGCGGTCTCACTTGACGAACATGTTGGAACCTCATGGTATTCCGAGCAAAAATAATGCAGATGCTTGCGGAAACAGTGTTCAAACGCAAGTGTCGTTTATAGGTGCTCGGGAACCTCGATCTTGAAATCCTTGCGAAACCTGAGGCTCTGTAAGGATCGTGACATGCGCGCGCGACGACGCGCGCGTGCGGACTTTGTGCTGTGTTGTGTGGCGAGGGGCGGCCACCAGCCGGCTGGCCCGACAACCGGGCACAGTTCCTCAGAAGAGAAGAAAGAACCCTAAGCGCAAACACTTTTTGGGCAATTTCGGGTGACGGTCGCCACCCCAGGGGGGGGGGGCACCTGGGGCCAGGGGAAACGGTAACGCTTAGGCGGGGTGAGGCACGTCGGGGCGGGGGTGCGCTGCGATCGCCAAAATATGCGCGCGAACGCAACCATCTGTGGGGGGTGTCCAGGGGCCCCCATACGTACGATCGTCACCGTTAACCGGGAAGGGGGTGTGTGGCCCAGGTAACGACCGAGGGTAAAAAAACATCAATCTCTAAAGACTATGAAATCCGATCAATGAGCCCTTGAGCCGAATGAGGCTGGATAAGCCTAGGAGGAAGCCGGATTCAGCGGGATTCGGCGGAACTTGCCGGAACTCTGCCGGATTAGGCCAATTTCGACCACGGGGCGCCGCTGCTGAATTCTACCTCCCAGGAACTGCACCTCAAACGACGAAACCAAGATCGAGACAACCTCGGATCGGGATCATTCGGGGACCTCTGGCAGCTGGCGGGCCTGGAGGATGCAGCGGGCGCCGCAGCCGTTCCAGAACGCTTCAGAGCGCTCAAGGCGCGCCCCGCGCCCTCCCTGGCCCGCCCAACCGGCCTACCTCGATCGAGCTCACAAGGCCTCGCCCCGTTGCGAAAACAGTCACAGGAAGAGCGACTGGTATCGGATCGCGAAGCTGGATCGAAATCAATATTGTGTCGAATCGTTTGGAATGGGTGTTCAAATCGGCGATCGCCGCATCGGCTCGGAAGTCGAACATCAGAAGCTGGATCGGAAGATAGCCAAAAGCCCGCCTTGGATGTCTTTTGCCACCAGAGGCTCTCGCAGAGGGCCCCGTGACCACCATAGGAACGACTCGGGATGAACAGCCGGGGAGCCACGTTGCGAACAAAAAACGACCTTCCAGTTCCGAGTTATCCCTGTATCCCTGAGACTGTCAGGCCAAGGGCGATCACAAGCTCAGGGAGGTAGCACTCAGAGACAGAAGAAACACTCAAGGTCGGCACCGCCATGGGGGTGGCGTCAGTCACAAGGGCAAGGATGTGTTTCAGGCTGACAATCAGCAGCCCTCCCTCCGGTCTCCAGTGTCGGGGCGGACGAGAAGGGGAGGATACCAACGGGTGAGTTCGCAAATCAACTCACGTACTTAACCCGCTTCTCCTGGCGCCTGTGTATCGAGGAAAGCGCCCGGCGGCGGGGCCGAAACCAGCTGCACGCAACAGACTTCGTGCCCCCCCTATCCCTCTCCCCCCCCTCTTCCTCTGACCCGAGTGCTCCTCGGCGTCTGGTTTCTGGGTCATGGCTCGGGTCTCCAGCGGCTGTTCGGGACGATCCAGGCACCCCCAGAAACGCTCTCAGCGAGGCGCAGCTGCTGGAAAGCATTCCTTGGCTGGAGAACCGCCGAGAACCCACCACAACGCCCGAAAACCTCGAGCCTCGAACCAGAGACGGCATCTCTCGTCCGACCCAACGGGGAAGGGTCGGGAAGCCAGGGACGCCGAGCCAACCCGAGCCTGCAGTCCTGACCCCTTCCATGAGACGGAGCGAACAACTGCATGAATAGAAACTTTGGGAGCTCCACAAGTTTCTTCGAGTAGGGGATCGACTACAGAATTGATTGACCCCCAAATCGGTCGTCCGTAAAACTAGCGAACACTACGCAGAATGCTCAATAGATCTACGGAACATTCTACGTATTCTCCGTAGACTCGACGGACAAACTACATATTTGGGAAATCAATTCTGTATTCGATCCCCTGCTCGAAAAATCACTCGTTGTGCATTGTTTCATCCTCCGACTCCCCTGGCAGCCCCCCCACCTCGGCGCAGCCCCCGGCCCCGCCCGCCCGGACGCTCCGCCCCCCGTTCTGGCCGCCGCCCGCGGCCTCCGCAGATCTCCGAGGATCCGATGCTTCCCAGGGTCCCAGCGGCCGCCGGGGACCAACAGCGATGGCTCCGGGGCGGCAAGCGACCCGGCTCATGGGGAGAGGGGGTCGGCACCTCTGGTGGAGGCCTCCTGACTGGGGTCCGAGTAGATTGGGGCTGGAGGATCCCGCCGCACCGCCGATGCATCGGCGACGTCGGCGGCACATCGGCGACGACAGCGCGGAGAAGACTGGGCTCCACATCGAGCCGCATCGGCGATACATCAGACCCATTTCCTCGGACCCCATCTAGGAGGCCTAGATCTGGGACCGCGCAATGAAAACAGGATCTGGTCGTGAGGCGTATGGGCGCCCCCCTCCCATGCCGTCCCCGCCCCCAGCCTCCAGCCCCTCTCCAGCCCTGCAGCCCTTCCAGGCCCCTCCTCCGCCCCTTGCTGCAAAAAACCGGGGGGATCGGGAAGGTGCCTCTATTTGGGCGCAGGAAATGGTTACGGAAAACATTGGCACGATGCCCAACAACATATGCTGTCCGAAATCGACAGCTGCCGCTATTGGGTAAGCGGCCTTCTGTGTCGAATGCACGACGTCCACCGCGACACTGACAGCGAGTCCTGTTCAAAGAAAAGAAAGGCTGTCGCTTTATGTACCCATTTTTCCCTATCCATTCTGCTCGTGCCGAATATACTGCTCAGTAGAGGCTCCACCACACCCAGACCCCCGACGCCGCGTTTCCGTTCTTCAAGTGGACCCCCAAAGGTCTGGACCCTTTCCCCTGGGCAAGCTTTTCGCCCCGAGTCGTCCTCTTGCGGGCCACGAGGCCCGGCAACGGCCCGCAGGGGCAGACAATTGAGAAACGCTGTCCATCGTGCCTTTGAGGGGCAACGAAAGGGGGGGGAATGGCATAGGGGGGGATACATCGACTTGGAATCGGCGCTGCATCGCCGATAGATCGGCGATATGGCCCCGATAGTGAGTGCGCACCTTCCTGGGCAGGCTAGGGCTATCGGGCCCCTATCGGCGATCAGTGGGAGATTGGGGGTCGATGCATCCCCCCCCCCCCTATGCCTATCCCCCCCCTATCGTTGCCCCTGAGCCTTTTTGAACGACTCGAGGGGGTCTGGGCTCGTGGCGGCTGTGCGCCGTCGGCGACACCCCGCACGGACGCACACAGCCTCAAATCGGGCCTGTCCCCCTACAGGCCGCTTTTGGACGAAACATGAAACACGGTCCAAAAATACTCGGGAAGGGTCAAAAACTACTACAACAAAGAATCGTCCCCAGACTAGTGTTGGACTATTTCTGCATTTTCCTCACTGGCCATCGCTCGAACGTCCATTCCCTGTGCTTTGTTCGGTTTCGTGCGTGGTGTTTTTTTTCTTTTTTCGCAGGATGATTCAGGATGCTCCTTAAGACTCCCCGCCGAGAAAAAGTGCACACGCCCGAGCGATGCCGAGCTCCTGTGGGGGGCAGGCCCGACTGAGCCACAGCCGGGGAGCGGGCATCACAAAGTCTTGGCGAGCCCTCCCGCGCGTCCGCCAGCGCGGCCTGCGCGTGCGCCCACCCGCCGGCGGTGGCCAGGCCGTGCATGGCGCCGCCGCGACGCCACGAGGCAGAAGGCTCACACGTCGTTCATTTCTCTAATCGTGCTCATTTCTAACTGTGCCCGTTTCCAATTGTTCCTGGCCCCCCAGTGGCCAGGAAGAGGCCCAGGATAGAACAATTAGAGGTGAAAGGATCTTGGCCCCCAGGAAATCAAAGAACTTTCGAATAACAAGAAATGAACAATGTGTAGGTTCGGCCTGTCCCCCCTGCAGGGGGGCTTTTGGACGAAAACTATCAAGTACTCGAACAATCATCAAACATAGGCAGAAACTCCAAAACTAGTCCCCGTATTATTTTTTCGCGATTCCCCCTGTGGAGGGACAGGCCCGACTTAACACGAGATAGAAGGCCGAAGGCTTAGGTCGGGCCTGCCCCCCTACAGGGGGATTTTGGACGAAGAATTAGACATACCCGAAACATACTCCCAAATGTTCAGAAGGTGCTCAAAAAATCGCCCCCAGACTATTTGTTACCGACATTTGAAAATCCCCCCTGTTGAGGGACAGGCCGGACTTGACAGAAGACACCCCTCTGCGAAGCGCGCGCGCACGGGGCTGCACCCAGAGGCGCGCACGCTCGAGCCCAAAAGGCAGAAGGTTGGAGGCCTGGAAATTGGCACCAACACCAGCACAGGGGGTTGCCTCCACATGGGAAAGATGATCCAAGATTTCGGTGTTGGTGGTAATATTTCGGTCACCTTGGAAGCCAGATCATTACCACCATCACCGAGAGCGTGATCTTCTTCCCTCGGTGGAGGCACACCGCCGATGTTGGTGTTGGTGTCAACCTCTAGGCCTGCGAGAAGAGTCTGGGGTTGCTGACGGCGTCCCTGGCCCAGGGTGCCCCCAGGCCTCCGCCCATTCTGGAGACCCTGGGGGGGGCCCTGGGCGTCGTGCGGGGCGCTCCGGTGACCGCGGGCTTCCTCGGAACTCCCGGCGACGCCTGGGGTCACGCGCACTTCTGTTTGGGATCCCGAGTCAGTGTGGCGACAGACTGCGCAGGGACTTCGAAGTGCGCAAGGCCCTCACGGTTCGGTCCGTCACTGCACGGTCTTAGGACTCTGGAGGCCCCCATTGCCCGAGACGTTCTCGGAGAACGACCCGAGTCCCACAATCATGAATCTCGGAGGAGGAGGAGGATCAGTGCAAACCCAAGACTCATCCACGATGTTGCCATTTACCCTCCCTCCAAATTCCCTGCTCACAGGCCCCTACAAGTCATTTTCACTGAGATCTCTATACCATGTTTTTACGCTGGGGACTCTGCGAGAAATCGCTTGCGAACCGTGGGCTGAAGCAAACTCGACACTAGCTTGGTCCCAGACCTCCTCCGGGGCCCCTCCTCGTCCTGAGAACGACCGAAAGCGTCTAAACAGCACCCGGCCATGGAGCCGAGAACAGCCAAACAACCCTGGGGAGCTTCGAACACATCTGTCAGCAACATCTCCCTACACCGCTGGAAACGATACCATAACCGATGACGCTGGCATCGACCTCTCTTATCAGAAGTCTGGAGTCGGCTGTCCGAGAGGACCCGGTAAGCGGGGCACATGACAAGCAGGAGCAGGGAAGGGATGGGGAAACATGATGAGGAGGAGTGGGTGGGGGGGAAGCAGGGAGGGGGGTGGGGGGGAATGGGAGGTGGAGGAGCAAAGGGGACGGACATGATGATGCTGCTGATGGGGGGAACGGGTCCTGAGGGAAACGGAAAACCCTTTTGGCCCGTTTCCCCCATGGCGGAAGAATATGTCCGCTCTCTCTTCCGCAAGCCAGCCTTCGCCAGACGTCCGCCGGCTGCCACCGCCTTCGGACCCCCCTCCCACAGCCGCAGGCAGCAGCCGCGCCGGCCTCCGCACGGCCTTGCGCGATGCCCCCACCCCCTCCCCGCAGCCGAGGGGGGGGGGAGGTCAACCCCTCCTCGGGTGTTTGCCAAAGGTGGACCTGCACCAGGATGGCCCCTGCTTCTTGGAAGGCGCGGGCCTAAAATCTATGTGTAGCTCAGGTCCGCGCCTTCTAAGAAGAAGGAGTGCTTTAAGAAGCCTTCCCCCCTCCCACCATCCCCCCTCTGCGCGTGGCTGATGTGGACCTGAGCCAGGGTGGCCCCTGCTTTTCCAGGGAGGCCCAGATGGCTTCCAGACCCACACCCCGCGCGGGCCCCCAGTAGCTCAAAATGGCGCGGAAAGCGGGGGGCATCTTGGGCCAGGGTCACCCCTGGCAACCTGTGAGCCTCGCTCTTTCGATGACAAGGCCCTTCGCTTATTTTTACCTCATGGTCGTGCGTGCCACCGTTTTTCTGCATTTGGCGTGCAGCGTGCCCCCCATCGACAATGTTTAGCGGTCATTTTCATTAGCGGCCGTGCTGGCCTATCGCTGTGTTGAACCAACTGGCCATTCTACCGCTGTGTCGTGACGCGGGCCCCCGGACCCACTGACCCCATGCCCAAGGACGCCATGGACCAATCTTTGATCCCGGGGCGTTTTCTAATTCGGCGGCGGGCAGACCTCCCTTTAGTAAACCACCCTTTAGTGAAAACGGCCTAAGACCGAAACCGACGGACCTGAACCCGCGAACATGATGGCCGCGACGCCCTCTCGCGAACCGAGAACGGCCAATTCGCTAATCGACGTGTCAGGGTAGGTCTATCAACCTCCGACTGATGGGAGGCAACGGGCAGCCAATGGTCCAAAGCGGAGACAGACCGGCCGTCTCGCTCTCCCGCGTGGCACGCCGTCAATCCGAGGGGAGGCGCGGCCTTCTTCTCCTCGGCCAGGCACTCCAGCAGCTGGCAGCGCCTGCGCTGCCCGTCGGAGATGGCGTTGATGCGCCACGAGAGGTTGATCTGCATGAACCGCCGTGCCCCCGGAGGGTTCCAAAGTGGGTTTTTGGGGAGGGGGTTTTCCAGGAGGGGTCCCAGGGGCTTCGCACCCCCTGTTTTGACGAGGTTCTGAGGCCCCTGGGGGGCTCTCTGAACCTATAAAAACATACAACAACAGCTAAATCATACGGAACAATAGTAATAATGCATACGAGACAATACCCCACATGCTCAAATACACTAAACAAACGTCCCCTGACTGTTGAATTATTATTATTATTAGTATTATTATTATTGGATATTCCCCCTGTGGAGGAGGAGGAGGAGGAGGAGAGCGGAGGCCCTGACCCTCCAGAGCCCGCCCTCCCCACCAGAACCCCCCAGAGCGGCCCCAGAACACCCCGAGCCGCTCCAAACACCAATGAGGCGCAACGAGAAGGGAGGCTGGCATAGGGGGGGTACGGGGGGGGGGCACGTGAACCTGGCATCGGCGATACATCGCCGATCGATCGGCGATAGACCCCCCGATGGCAAACCCGCACGCCCCTGGGCGGGAACGGGCCATCGGGCCGCTCGAGAGAGGGCGCGCACCACGGCAGGCTCACGCCGCGGGCGGTGTCGAAGCGCTGGTCTCCGCCGCCGCGCGGATAACTTCCAGCCCTGGGCGCCACCGGTGCTCCGGCAGCGTGGACCGTATCATCAGTAACATCACCATCTAAGAGTGAAGGGGCCACGGGACACACACACACACTCACACACACACAGGTACACACAAATAACAGGATCCCCAATATTTTCCCATATTTTCTGGGTGTTTGTCTCCCCCCCCACTTCCCATATTTTCCAATATTTCCCCCTCCTGAAATAGATCTGTGTTTTTGTTCCCCTCCTGAAAGAGATCTGTGTTTTTCCCCCTCCTGAAAGAGATCTGTGTTTTTGTTCCCCTCCTGAAAGAGAAAGCGAACGAGGAGGAGGAGGAGGAGGAGGAGGAGGAGGGGCATCTTGGGAGCCTCTGGGGGCACTTTTTGGGGCCTGCCGGGAGCTGCCTGGGAGCCTCCTGGAGGCATCTTGGGGGCCTCCTTGGGCCTCTTGAGGGCCTTTGGTTTGGGGTCTTTGACGACGACGACGACGAATGCGGACCACACTCCTATGTCCTATGCGGACACCTATGCGGATCACGATGCGCACGGCGGCAGTGCCCAGAACGCACTGGGGGGGGGAGCGTTACGTCATTGGGGGAGGGGGGGAAATGACGCCCGTCATGCCCCAAGCAATAAAGAAACGGGCTCCAATAACAATAACATCACCATCTAAGAGACCAGGGCCAGCTTCCTGATAGGGGGAGGGCGGGCTTCCTGGGCAGGTTGGGGCTATCGGGCCCCTATCGGCGATCAATGGGCGATTCGGGGTCGATGCATCCCCCCCTATGCCTATCCCCCCCTATCGTTATGTTGTTCCCATCGTACTTAAGGACCACATCTCAGAAATAATTTCGAGCACCCGGAGCAGTGCCGAAAGAGTGTCGAAACGGTGTCGAAATAGTATCGGGCGAGTGTCTCCCATGGCCCGACACGTGGAAACCATCGAGTTTCGGTACCTTCTTGGTGCTCGAAAGTCTCTCTGGTGATCAAGGCGAAAGTAGGTTGGAACATCATAACCCTATCGTTGCCCCTGATGATAGGGGGAGGGCGGGCGGGGGAGGGGGGGGGGGCGGCGGCCGGTCGGCGGCGGCCGCGCCGGGGATGTCGATGAGCTCCTGGACGCGCGGCGACTGCAGGCGGCCCTCTCCTCTTCGGGGGGGGGGGGGAGGGGGGGGGGGGGCAGAGAGAGGCGGCGCGCACCCGAGGGGGGCACAGTCGAGCAGGGGTGCTTCTGAGGAGCCCTCCTCTCTTCCTCTGCCCCCCTCTGCGTGTGGCCGAAGGAGGGAGGTGGTTGGTTCTGGCGACGACGATGACGATGGTGCAGATTCTGTCAGAATCTGCACAAGGATGTCTGCGGTGCATCCTCCTCATCCTCAACATCATAACTTCTGATGCTGAGGGTGCTGAGGGTGAGGAGGACGAAGATTATGGTGCTGATGCTGGCGATCTTGGCGATGATGGTTATCATGATGATGATGGCGACGACGATGCTGCTAGTGCTGATGCTGCTGCTGCAGACCTCCTCGCGCCGCGACACGCATCACGACGGGGAGGCCTCCGCAATTTTCGCCCCGTGGGGGGCCCTGCCTAGGCCCTGGGACCGTCACCGAGCGACTCAGAGAGTGGAGAGTCAGCCCCGGGGAACGGCGTCGCGGGGGTCGGGTGCAGTCAACCCGGGCAGTAAAGATGCGCGAAAAGGAAGCAAGGGCCTTGGACGCCCATTTCGAAACGTTTCGAGCGGAGCTCGGCCAACGAAAGCGGCGAAGGATCGACCGAGGAGGCGAGGATGCAAGGGTACCCTTGGCAAGGTTGTCCATCCTGACTATCATGGTTGACTGTATCGAGGTTCGAGGTATTCGGGCGTGTTCTGGTGGAGATCAGGCCTCCCTGGGGGGCGCTTCGCGCCGCAGCCATGAAAGAACTCGAACAGGGTAGGACTGTTTCGTAGGCGCCCAGGGCCGCGCAGCAAACGCCAACTATGAGGGTCGGGGTGGTTTCTCCGTACCTGACAAAAAAGGCTGACGATGCTGACTCACATCTTTTGGGTTTCGCGCCATCTGTGCATGAGACTTCAAGACTTCAATCGGGCGTGTCCCCCTACAGGAGGAGTTCGGACGAAAAATAAAACAGAGTCAAACAATGCCCAAACCATACCTCAAAATACCAAAACATCGTCCCAAGACTACAGGCCCGATTTAATGCAAGACCCAACTCTCGAGATGGAATTTCTCGCCATGCTGGGCAAGTGCAGACTGGTCCAGTGTTCTGTCCTCGCCCGCCACGTGCTCTTTCCCCTCGAGGCCCAATACCGTCCCCGAGACGACCCTAAGCTTAGGTCGGGCTTGTCCCCGTATAGGGGGATCTTAGGCGAACCAAATGGTCCAAACATACCTCATAATGGTCACAAATAGTCAGAAAATCGTCTCCTGACTAACTTTTGGTTGTTTTTGAATATTCGCCCTGTAGAGGGACAGGCCCGACTTAACCCTAAGCTTGCAGACAATCCCCAACATGCCCCCAGACGCACCAAGAAAACTGGAGGCCCAAAGTTGACTCCAAGATCTCGCAGTAAGGCCGAAGCTCGGCGCAGGAATCCCCACCACGAGGCCACAACATGGCCCCATGACGTCTCCAGGCTGCTCCAAACCAGCCTCAACAAGGTCAGCCGGCGCTTCCAACCCGAAGACCTGCCCCAACCGGACAACTGGACACCAGCAAAGAGAGTGGCAACGGCACAGAGTGAAACAACCGTCAAAGACCGCCTCACTGTGCACACGCACACACATACCACACACACACCAACACACACCAACACACACAGACACACACACACACACCACACACACAGACACACAAACACACACACACACACTCACACATACAAGCATTCACACACACACGCACCAGCACACAAACACACCAATACACACACACACACACACGCACGCACCCACACACACACACACACGCTCGCACACTGTCTGTGTGCCAGCTCTGTGTGTACGTGTATACGCAGTCCGCAGCCGCTCTTCTGAGGTGTCGGCCGAACTCTTCGGGCACTCTGTTGTCTGACTACGCCGCGCAACTGCGCGCGCGCGGCCGGGACGCTAACAAACACGTGTGCACGCGCGCCTTTACGATGAGGGCATTGGATACGGAGCCCTCGGTCAAAGAATCCAGGGTCTGGAAGCCGGCGGAACTCCAATCGTGGATCGGCCATGGACATAGCCACCGCCCTCATCAGATAAGAAACCGTCCAGGGTCTGACGCCTTCTGGGCATACACACGGACCTAGGACAGAAAAAAATCCTTCAAGAACATGAAGCCCTCCGCAAACCCAAACTAAAGAACATTCGGTGGCAACCCTCCCCCCGGAAGCACAAGAACATCCTACAAAAACGAATAACCTAGGGGGACCCTCGTCGAACCGACCTCGATCCTATACCTCGTTCCGACCGTTTTCCTCAACAACGAGCCCCCCCACCGCATGGAGGGCGCGTGCGCGCGGGTGTAAAATCACACCAGAGACAATCCCCAATCAGTGGATGGTGTTCGCTGGGGAGATCGACAGGGAACCCGGGAGCCCGGGAACCCAAAACCCACCGAAATCGGCCCGGAACTAATAACAAGGAACCCGGAAATGGAAAACCGGGAGCCCGGCCAAATCTTTCAACTTCCGCTAGGACTCGTTCAATGCAAGCACCGATTAGAGAATCTATACCGTCACGATCGTTCTGAAAGGCTCCCCGCAAAACTTCTAAGGATTCGATGAAGCGTCAGGGCGGATCGCCAGGCGGAGAGGCTACCCAGTTTTCCTGGGTGCTCGCAGAGGGGGCGGCGGGCAGCACAGGGGGAGGGGGGGGGCGCTCGGGCTCTGCGGGGCTTGTAGCCTCTGGCCGAGACGCGCTTCGCCCCACGACACCGACTACGGCATAAGCATGACTCGGCGGCGAGCTCAGCACAAGAATGGCCTCGAGAGGCCGCCGACGAACCCCGAAGGGGAATAGGAGGAGCAGGAGCAGGAGCAGGAGGAGGAGGAGGCGACCTCTTTCCCTTTGTCCCACCTCTGGGAACCCATTATTAGGAGCTCAAGGGATTTCATTTATCACGATATTGATGCTCACGAGTTCCGATCGAGCCTGGCTTCATTCATCGCCACTTCATAAGGACCTATTACAATTGGACCTTGATGCTGACTTTTCCGGCATTCTCCTTGCGCACGAGCAATCCGCTAGATACGCGCTGGATGGGCATATCCCCGGCGGGAATGGGCACATGTGAAGGCCCTTCTTGCTTTCGGCGGGCGCCGCCATGCCTTTCCAATGGGATCGGTGATGAGGAAAGATCCCCAAGGACATATTTTCGATGACCCCACCTAAGAAGCAAATGATCAGCAAGCTCACTTTGCCAATATCGAGGGGGGTAGGCGTGTTTCTTTAGATGAAGTCGCCGAGCATTGTAACCGCCACGATGCTATCCCCGAGCAGCTGGAGTGTAACCTTCTTAACGTGCCCACACTTCACGGAGTCAATAGGTTGATTCGATCCACGCGGAATGGGGAAGCCCCAAACCCCGACTTGATTACCAACGATGCGATGAGAGCGGCTCGAGAAGCTTCTTCTCGTCACATCCACCCCCTCTTGGTCAAAGTCAGCATGGTCGGACTTGAACCATGCATGTTGGAAAAAGGGCAAGTGGTTTCGTGTTACAAAAGGGAAACCAATGTGACCCTTGCTGCTTTCAATCAACATATTTTGCTTGCCAGTACGAAACCCAAAGTTTGACACAAACACCATAGGAATAGATCCGAAGAGCACTGCCACGGAGTTCGCGTCTCTTTTCGTGCGCAGCAGATTACATCAGCTGGGACACCAAACGAAGACTGCCATTGCCTTGCTGCTTGATCTCGTCGCTGCGTTTTAGTTCGTAGCCCGTCAAATCGTTACGTCGTTTCCTCAGGATTCGGACCAATTCGAAGAGGCTGTTGCCATTCTGCCGATCCCCCTGGCGTTCCAACGGGGCGTGCTTTCCCTCGCAGAACACCCCATAGTCGAAGGGGCCAGTGATGACGAACATGTGTTGCAGCTTTTTCGTGATGCACAGGCTTGCTCCTGGTGGCAGTATCGAGGGGCTCAGGAGAGGATTCTCCCCTCCTTCGGATCGAATACAGGAGCGGTTCTCGCTTGCGACGTTGTTATGCGACGTGTTTAACATTGCGTTTGCCCCTATCATCACTGGAATGCAGACGGATATGGAGACCCACCAGCTTTTGTCTAGCTTTGACCCCGTACAAGGCCCCTTTGTTCATGCTGCTGATGCCAATCCTGTTATCCCTTCTGCCTTTGTCGACGACTTGACGACGATTGGCGATTGAGATGATGCGCTGCAGGCCCCGCAGATTGCGGATCAGATGTTAGACATTGTGTATGGAAGAGATAACTCCCACGGTCTCCGTATGAATCCTACCACGACTACTCTGATGATCAAGCTGGCTGGAAAAAAACTCCCGTAATATTGAACAGTTAACCGTTGGGATCCCTGAGGGAGGGGGGACTTGGTTTGTTCTGACAACCATGGTGTTCGTGTCCAGATTGTCCGACAGTATGAACTTCTCGGCACCATGTTGACTGATACGATGTCCTTGGATGGAGAGGTTCGACACCGTATTGCCAATATGCGAGGCGAACTGAAACCGATTCGATCGGCTATTCGCCCGCGTCGTGCTCTCCCTCTCTCCTCGAAGATTCGCTACGCTGAGAGTTTGGCGGCCCCGAAACTGCAATACAATATTTGTGTTTGGACCGTCTGAATGCTAAGCCGCAGAGGAGAGTGCACACGGCCCAGGCGGATGTGTACCGCGCTGTTCTGGCCAAACCGCGACATCGAGAGGGCTCGCACTATCCTAATAGAGAGATTCTCTATCTTGCCCAGCGCTTGCCACTCTCTGCTGTCCATTCCATTGCTAGACTGCGCTTTCTTCTCCGCCTTTTTTCGCCACTCCAGTCCCACCCTCCTCCATATCCTTAACTATTTGTGCGCGGCGAAGGTTGGTTGGAGCTCCGGCGGCTGTCCACGAAAAGCGGAACCCCTGGTCAGGTATCCTGTGTGGGGTGGGTACAGTTTGCTCGTGGTTCGTCTGGACATTTCGCCCTTCACGTCAAGCGTTGTGCCCTTCGCCAGCTGTCTAAACCCCTTGACCAATGCAAGCGTGCCCAGCATCATAAAGAGATACGTAGCATGTTTCATGGCCGTGCCTTCGACTTTGATGCGCCTCAGCCTCGGAGCGCTGAAGATGATAGCAGTGACCGTCTCCAGTTCGTTTGCTACGAGTGTGGCTTCCTGTGCGCCACCGCGGCGGCTCTTCGGACCCACCATACGAAGACCCACCGCAATGACCAACACCCTGAAGGTTGGGTCTCAGGATCTTTGTGCCAAGTTTGCTTGACCGAGTTCCATGACCGTGCCCGTTTGCTTTAACATTTGAAACGATGCGCGTCGTGTCTTCATGCTTGGTGGGAGAGTGTAATTGCCATTAGTTGCACGGAGCAGAAAACGGAGGATAGCACAAGTATCCAGCGCGCGAACAGAGCCAAAGGGCTTCATGATAACTATGCCCATCGCCCTTCCCATACATATACCTTTGGTCCTGCCATTGCTAGCCGGCTGCCCCGTGTTCCAGTGTTCGAGCCTCCTCTTCATGTTACTTGCCCTGTTAACTCTCGAACCAGCAGGAGGAGGAGCGGCCCCAGGGTATTGGCCCGACGACGCGTCCTGTCAGGGGACTCCGTGCATTTCGGTAGTTGACGGGAGGGATAAGGATGTTCCTCACATTGTCCTTGCTCTTAAATTTGCCTTGTCTGCGTTGCCTGGGCAAGTCGAAGTGATTCGTCTAATGAGAACGGGACATGCTGAGGCCAAACTTTGGGCTGGTTAGGAGAACAATTCCTGGACGGAAGTGTTTTGGCGGTGGTTGACGCCCCCTTCTGAGGAATCTTGGGACCCTGGGCGTTTTGAGCTTGGCTGTGGCCCTCTTCGGAGGCTCACGTGCCTTGTCTGATCACTCATGTTGTCATTGATTCGCCCCTTCCGTCTCCGTGGCTCCTAGATGATGTCAAATGGGCGTGTATGTATCCGCGTACTGCTTTTACGTTGTACCTGTTGACCCGCCTCCGAGGATTAACTAGGCAGGCGTTACTGACCACTTGCATCTCAGATGGTTCGAAGCAAACCCTTTGTAATTTGCATCGCGGAGCTTGTGAAAAGGGGGAAAGCACGCATGAACACGATCTTGCCATCGCCGCCATTGAATCCTCATCGATCTCTCACGTGGCGAGGACCGTGAGGTGGTACCCCTATGGGGATCGGGCTACCACTTGCCTTGAGAGCAGGGGGTTGACGGTCGTGTCTCGTTCTCCTCCTCTCGATTGTATGAATAGACGCTTTGTCTTTTGAGATGGGACCCCTATGGGGATCGGGCTACCACTTGCCTTGAGAGCGGGGGGGGGACGGTCGTGTCTCGTTCTCCTCCTCTCGACTGCATGAATAGACGCTTTGTCTGTTTTTAGGAGAGGCTGCTTGAACCAATTGCCTTCAGTCTGAGAGAGAGGAGGAGGAAGAGGAGGAGGAGGAGGAGGAGTTGGAGGGGGAGGAGGAGGAGGAGGAGGAGGAGGAGGAGAGGACGAGGAGGGCCTTTGCGGGAGCTCATCTGAAGCATCCAAAACCCGGACGTCGTGATCTTTTGCACTTTGCACACCGTCGACCCCAAGAGGTCTCGACCCACTCCCCAAGACCGGTTCTTCATCCCGAGTCGTTTTCTGACAGTCCCGAGGCCGGGCGAGGGCCTCCAGAGGCCGAGAATTGCGGATGACCTCCCGGCGTGATCTCTTCAGGACTCGAGGGGGCGGAGCCTGGGATCTCCTCCCCCCCGGCAGCGCGGCGCCGCAGACCCCGTGGCCCTCCTCCGCGACCGGCCCCTCCCCGCTCTCGCCCCGCCACTCCTTCTCCGCTGCCCTGCCCTGCCGCGCCCTGCCCTGCCCTGCCCTTCCGCCCCCGGGAGGCCTCTCGGGGCCGTTGCAACACCCCTGGAGAACATATGATCGTGGCCTCTCCTGCTCTCCTCTGCCTCCTTCTCCTCCTCTTGCTTCTCCTCCACATCCTTCTCCCCCCTCCTCCTCCCTCATCCACCTCCCCCACCCTTCCTCCACCTCCCACTCATCCTCCTCCCCCTGCCCCCCTCGTTTACATCTTCGTCGTTCTCAGGGTCGGCGCCACTGGCCGTAAGGCCTTCGCAATAAATGATCGTGGCCTCTCGGAACCCTCTTGGCTCGGGGCCCTCTTGGGAAAGCTCTGGGAGCTCTCCTGCGGCGTCCAGGAGACCGCAGGAGGTTCCCGGCAGGAGCCCCACCGCGCACCTTTCATCCAAGCTCACCAGGGGAGCGTAGAGAGAATCAGCTCACTCAGCTGATCCTGGCGTCCCCTGGCGCCAGGAGGCGCCCATTGTATCAAGGAGTAGACCCAGCGGCGGGGCCGAAACCAGATGCATGCATCAGATTTCGTAACCCCCTCCCGGTTCCCCATCCTGCCCTTTCGTACGGCCTGGCAGGAGGCATCGGCTGCAGGACAGCACGCGGATACACATCCTCATCATCTGTGCCTGATGTTTTTAAGAAGACCATTTGTGCCTAGTGCAAGAATTATGAACCCAGCGCGGCCCCAATTAGGGGAAAGCTTCCTATTGCATGGACGCAGTGCCTAGCAGTGCTTGGCGTTGCTTGGCGTTGCCGAGAAACCTGAGGAACACCCGAGGAACCAGAGGAACACCGAGGGAACGGGCAACGTGGCCTCCCGAGGCACCACTCTTCTCTACCAAGTAAGAGCCCCTATCAGGCAGGCCAAATTTGGGAAAAAGGCAAGCCCCAGAGAGTCCCGCGGAGGGCCGCTTCCTGGACTCGGAGGAGTGAAGGGGCCCTGGGACACACAAATTCGCCGGCCCAACGGGCCAGAGGCGTGCTAAGATCTCCGATGACTACTTAACAATATTTCTAGTTCGCGCGCGCGGGGCGGCCCCTGGGGGCCCCCGGACGAAAAGTACCCCGGCTGACCCCCGGCCGGGTCCCGGGCGATCCCCAGGGGGGAGGCTATTTTTCGCTACCCCTCACGAGGATCGTGGCCTCCGATGGGGATGGCTGCAATCGACTGCCCCCCCTCCCGACCCAAGGGGCCCCCAAGAGCCCCCCCCAAGAGGCCCCAGGGGAGCCCAAGACGCCGCCAAGGAGCCCCAAGACGCTCCCAAGAAGCCCCCAAGAGGCCACCAAGACGGCCCCAAGAGGCCCCAAATAGCGCTCCAGGGCCGGCGGAATGAGCGAAGCGATTAAATAGATAGACGCAAATAACAGGATTACCCATCTTTTCCTATGTTTTCTGGGTTCTTGTCTCCCCTCCCACTTCCACATTTTCTCATCTTTTCCGGGGGATCGACAATTCATGGTGTCTGTGTTTTTTCCCCTCCTGAAGGAGGGCACGTCGAGACAACGGCGGTGCTCCCCGGCGTGCCTCGTCCCTTTTTTGGGGGAGCTCCCGGATGGGCGTCTCGCCGTCGCGGCCGGATGTCTGCCTCGGGGCACGGGCCAAGGAGGGCCCCAGCCAGGGGTGGAGAACAGCTGTTGGCCTCGACGACGGAACTGACTTGCCTCAGCATTGATTCTCCCCATCGATCCTACGACGAATACGTAGAACTATCGCAAATCTGCTTAGAATTCTACGTGCCGTTACGTAGATCTGGCGAAACAGAAATTCTGGGGCACATAAATTCTGTTGTCGATCCCCTACTCGAGCGATGCACCCATCCTGGCCGCACGCTCAAACGTCCGATCGCCAACGCCCCCCCCCTTGACCTCCCGTCGCTCCCAGCCGTCCTATCAGCTCCGCCACGGTGATATTGAAGAAGAAATTGGTGCGCCACCAGTCCCCGCAGTACATCCGCTCCCGGTTGAGGGAGGTGTCGTGGAACGCCTCCTTTGGGAGTTTGGGAAAGGCTTGATATAGACACCACATTGCTTGGTCGGCCAGGGAGCGCCGTGTATAGACGCCCGCGGCGCGACGCTGGAGCGTCTACACACAGAGTTCATTTACCGAACTCACTGGCTCCTCGGCCGACCAAACGGCGTGTCGTATACATCGAGCCCCTGCGATCCTTGCCCAGGAGGAGGCACTTGCCGCGCGGCAACATCCTCGGGCAAGGCGGCGGCGCACGGACGGGGCGACCGGGGCCCGAATGGGAGCCGCGACGTCGCCAAGGAACGCAGACGCGATCTAGCAGGAGGACATCCACGGTCAAGAACTTTTGATTGGCGTGTCGCGGGGGCGGCCCCAGCGACACACTGTACCGTGTAAGCGGATAACGTGTCGCTCCGATTCGCGAAGAGGGAGGCTGGGGAAAGCTCGGCAAGTTGACGGTCGGGGACTGGGGCGTGGTCAGCGTGTCGCGCCGAGGAGGGGTGGGTCACAACCGGCGGTGCGACACGCTGAGCCTATGTTCCTGACCGTATGCGCCAGCGGCGGCCCTGCCAGACCTCATCCTGGGCCCAAGATCGGCCTGACCATGATCGGTGTAGGTGTATGGTGGGCGGCATCCTGCGATCGTCAACGGCATCTACAGGACGCGCTGACCAGCCACGGCCCAAGAAATCCGCGCGGACCTCCGAACGCATATGCTCATATTGTTTCTGTCCATTGTTTGAGCAGAGACCGACCGTCCCGGCATTCCTCAAGGCCGACCACGACATGTTCTTATAACCGAAATGCGTTCTAAGAGCAAAAGCAAGGTTCTTAGAACATAGGCCCGATCTGTCAAAACAAGACAGTCCCAGCCAGAAATGTTCTAAGAACATCTCGTGCAAACCACAGAAGGTTCTTAGAACATTCTTTGGTAGGCCTATGGGCAAGCCAGGACGCTTTGCCACTGCTTGAAGTGTTCCTCGAGGGGAGGAGAGGGCGGACCACGGCGAACCGGCCAGCCCTATTGTAGCTACTGCCCGCCCCCCCCCCCCCCCCACTCGACAGCCCCTGCTGACGAGCCGGGGCCGAACGGTCGGTCTCGAAAATCCGTTCTCTGGACGAAGAATCTAAGCTTAGGTCGGACCTGCCCCCCTACAGGGGAATTTTGAGTGGAAAAATAAAACATAGTCAACAAATACACCAAAATGGTCCAAAATACTCAAAACATCGTCCCCATACTAGTTTTTGACTACTTTTGAATATTCCCCCTGCAGAGGGACAGGCCCGACTTAAATCTAGGCAGCCAGACACTCGGAGGTTGTGTGAAGTTGCGGCGGCTGCTGCGAGAAGGCTGATCCTACTGATCATCCTGTTCGCCCCGCTCTTCCCCCCAGCGCCGAGAACAAAAACGACCTCGTGAACAAGACCACGATTCTCAGACCTCCCGACCCCCTTCGCGGCATGCCAACCTGCATCGGTGGCGGAGGGCCCTGGGGGGCCCGAAGCGGACAGACCAGACGCACGACGCTGGATGGCCGGGATGTGCGGGCCCCTGGCTTTTCCTCGGCGGTTGAAAGGTGGAGTCCAGGGGGATGGGGTCCTGAAGACGCGAACTTCAAACACCGAGAACTCAACCTGTGATCCACCTCGTGTCCTCAGGGCCGCACCCCTCAGCACCCCATCTCTGGATCGCCTCTGGCGCTGGCCAGGGCTGCCCGAGTGGATGCCAGAGACTTCCGGGGGGCCCACCGTCTGCTTGGCCCTCTAAGGCTTGGGCCGACAATGCCGAGCATGACCTCATCATCCCCCTCGTTGGCGAGTCCCCCAAAAAACTCGGCACGAGCGGCTTAGGTCCGCAACTCGTTTGGAAGTCTGCTCTCGGGAAGCATCTTCGACGAGCCAATATGGATATGGATAAAAATCTAGCCTCTGGGGGCCAGACTTTTGTCCATATCCGGTGCGCCTCTGTTCTCTGGGGAGGGAAATCCTAAACTCCAAGACTCAGTGGAAAGTTTTCGACAAGCCGTTTGTTCTCGACGCGCCCAAGTGGGTGACGCCGACACCACGGCAAACCTACGACACACCCTGCGCCCCGCGCACAAAGTGACGCCTGCGCCAGAGGCAGAGTTTGCCCCGGTGGCCGGGGAGCCCGTCCCAACAGGCAAGGCCGCGCGTCGGAACAAACGGCGCGGCGACATCTGGAGACAGAGCCTGCCCGCAGAGGGTGCGCCAGGGGTCCGCTTGCCGCCCATGATGGAGAGCAGCGTGGACTTGCCGGCGCCGTTCGCGCCGCTGACCAGCACCTCGCGGCGAGGCGCGGCGCGGGGCGCCGCGCGCCGTGGCCCTGGGGCGAGCGAGGGGCGAGGCGAGGGGCCCCTCTGCGAGGGCGAGCGAGGGCGCCTCTGCGAGGGCGAGCGAGGGGGCCTCTGCGAGGGCGAGCGAGGGGCCCCTCTGCGGGAGAGGCGCGAGGGAGCCTCGGGCGCGGGCCCTGGCCACGCCACGGCTCGGCGGCGCTGCCGCCGCTCGCGGGCCTGCTCAGGCCTCGAGCGACTGGGCGCGGGCAAGACTATGTAAGCAGCGCCACAGGAGGAGGAGGAGGAGGAGGAGGAGGAGGAGGAGGAGGAGGAGGAGGAGGAGGACCAGTGTAAACCCACGACTCATCAACGCTGTTGGAATACACCCTCCCTCCAAGCTCCCTCTTCATAGGCAGTGGTTCACTTCCACTGAGGGAAACGCCCATTGCGGGATAATCGCGGGAAAATCCTGAAGCGTGCCCCAGCCCAGCACTATGCTCAGCACGCCAACGAAACGAGTCAACCTGACTGTTCCGACGCCATTCCTGGGATATCATCATCGCGAATCAATGTAACTGGTACCCCATAACATTCTTGAATCGTTCATATACGCAAGTTCTAATACGTTAGCAAGGATCACCCATGAAACTCATGCAACTATTTGAAACAAGTGTGCGCGGCACGACGGCGAGAACTACATTTTGAAAACGACCCGGCCTGAAATCGTGAAACACATGTTAAAATGTTTAAACGAATGTGCGCGGTGTTACGGGGAGAACTACATTTTGAACAGGGCCGCCCTCAATCCGTGAAGCTCTTGATTGTTCAAAAATCGTCAAAAAAGGCCGCCCTCAGTCCGTGAAAAGGGCCGCCTTCTTGTTCAAAACGAGTGCTCGCGGCGCGACGGGGAGAGCTACATGTTGAAAACTGCCCACCCTCAATCCATGAAGCACTTGCAGAGCATCGAAGACGAATGCGCGCGGTGCAAAAGCGAGAACTACATTTCGAGAACGACCCGTCCTCAATTCGCGAAGGTCTTGCAACGTCATGACTTCTCACGGTGCAGCGCCGCGCCAGCGAAGGGCACAGGCGTTTTGGCGCGGCGGACAGGACGACCAGGCTCGCCGCGCAGGGCGGCCCCAAAATGCACCTCGCACGCCGACTCGACCCGTGGTGTCTGCGCTGCACCGCAATTTGAGCCGGGACCGACCGTCCCTGCTCTTGGAATCCAGAAATACTCGATGTGTTAAACAAGACAGACTTCGCCAGAAGTGTTCTAACACTTCGTGGAAACCACAAACGGTTATTATAACATTGTTTGGTAGGGCTATCGGCGAGCCAGGACGCTTCGCCACTGCTCGAGGAATGCCCCACGCCCTCCCCCCCACCCGGCCAGCCAAAGCCGAGAGGCCTGAGGGCGGTGAGGGTGGGAAAAGAAACGATCCCTCCAACACGTGGTCCCCCATTGGGGGCCGCCTTCCCAGGATGCGCAAGGTCGCAAGCGCGCGGGCGCCCTGAGGGGCCCTGCTTGCCCTTGGCCCCGCAAGCACACGGGCTCCCGTGGGGGGCCCGCCGGCATCTCGGCCCTTACTTGCTATCCCGCAACGGACTCGGGCGGACGGCAAGCGCGGGCCGCATCCAAGGCGCGACCGCGACCGAAGAAGGGCGGCACGACGACACCGCCAAGCAGCCCTGAGGCAGGACGAAACAACAAAACGATGAGCGACGGAGCGATTGAACGAACGTTCGCGGGGCGGCACCAGGAACTTTTACGCCTGCCAAGGCAGGGTATGTTTAGCGAGTGTGGCCGGCGCGAAGCTGAAAGCCACATTTTGAACAACCACCCATGCTCAATCCATGGAGCTCTAGCTTTTTTAATGAAAAAAGAATATGCGCGCCGCGAAGGCGATAGCCACATTTTGGAAGCGGCCCGCCCCCCATCTGTGAAGATGTTCCAAGTGTTTAAACTTCAAGCTCATAGTTGATAATGAAGTCTGATGCGAAACGCCGGGCCCTGGGGTGCGACAGAAGAATTACCCAGAAGGAAAAGGAATGAGGACAGAGGAGGAGGAGGAGGAGGAGGAGGAGGAGGAGGAAGATGAGGAGCAAGAGGAGGAGGAGGAGCAGGAGGGGCCGGAACAGGAGCAGGAGCAGGAGGAGGAGGATTGCAGCGTAGTGCTGATGCCCTTAAGGGTAGGCATAACCGTATAACCCTTTTGAATCGGATGGGGCACTCAGGCTCTCCCACCATTGAAATAGGTGCTCGATGTTGGCCCTTGGTAATTGTGGGTAATATGCGTGTAGCGCATATCCTGTGGTAGCCACCTCTGCCTCGTAGCACCGTGGCGGGGGGGGTCAACGCTTGTGGGGCAGACGTCCCAACATGAAGGGACAACGAATGATGGACCCAAGCGTGATGTGTGACAGGAGTGTGTGTAAATGTGAGCCCCATGTTGTGTCAACATTGGTGCCGACAAAATGCACCAAACCGAATTCAGGCCCCAATGGCGTTCTCACGGGGGGCACGGTTTGTCCTCCCCACGGGGGGGGGCAACCATAGCTCGGTCTTCAATCAAATGACCGGAAAACTTTTCCCGGTACTTCGGTCCTCATGGGATGCCGGCGGAGCTTGTGCGGATGATGCCCGAGGCATAGGTGGCCACCTCCCAAGGTGGACACGGGCGGGTCGGTGTTGAGGAGCTCTGTGGCCACCTGAACGGTCGCCTCCTGGGTCCCTGGATGGAGGCCTATGAGAGTGGACGCACCCAGCTACGACCCCGTCCGAGTCCAGGGCAGCCCCACTCCCGAGGTGTAACGGCCACGCGGCCAAGACGAGGTTCCGATGTCGGCACCTGCTACTGGTGGGTGATATGCGTGATGCTATGGCAACCACCTCTGCCTCGTAGCCCCCCGTGCCCAGGGGGTCAACGCTTGTGGGGCAGACGTCCCAACATGAGGGGACGACGAATGATCAAGCGTGATGTGATTCAGCAATGAATGTAAATGTGAGCCCCAAGTTGTGTCAACATTGGTGCCGCCAGAATGCGCCGAACCGAACTCGAGCCCCAATGGCGTTCCCCCCCAAAGAAAAAGTCAAACATACAAAAAAAAAAAAATCGTCTCCAGATTACTTTTGACTATTTTTGATTATTTCCCCTGTAGAGGAACACGGCCGACTTAAGCTTAGAATGGTCCAAGAATCCCCCCCCTTCCCCAGGGCGGTGTGTCGTCCAGGCAAGTGTTCGATGGTCCTGGGGCCCAGCAAGGGCCCTCAGAAGCCGAGCGCTATCGAGTATCTCTCGTCGCGTCTTTTGTTCTTCGATGCGGGGGGTTTGGGTTCGCTGTCCTCTAGAAGCCCTTCTTGCACCTCTCGGGGGCTTTTGGAGCCCTCCAGGCCTCCAGAGGCCTCCGATGGTCGCCGAAGGACTCCGAAGGCTCCCGAAGGCTCCCGAAGTCCGCCGAAGAGACCAGGGACCTCTGACGCAGCCTGGCCTTCTGAGAGCCCGACCGCAGGCGTGTCGTGCGAGCCCCATCTCGGACGTGCACCCCCGTACAATGCCACGCTTCCCTCCTGCTCTTGCTCGTGCTCCTCGTCCTCGGGGTAGGGGCAGAGGTGGGGTTAAAGCTGTGTTGTTCCCATCGTGCGCAAGGACCACATCCCAGGATCAAACATCGAGCACCCAAATACGTGTCGAATGCGTCTGCCCGACATGCTAGCGAAGTGTCGAATGAGTATCGCCTCCATGGGCCCGACACGTCAAATCCCTCCAATTTGGGTGCTTTCCTGGTGCTCGGAGTTCTTTCTGGTGGTCAAGGCTCAAAAGTAGATCGAAACATTATGAGGTTACAGAAACACCGCTGTACACGGGTCGTGGAATCAGACAGTCTCGATCCCTGGCTCCACCTTGGGTGTTAAACCGCCCTCTGACGGCCCCCGAGATCAACTTCCGAGCCGGCAGCCGTAGACCGTACAAGGTTTGACCTAGCCGGAGAGCCAGCCTTCCCTGGAACCTCTCTGGAGCACTCCAAACCTTCCCTGTCCTGCGCCCTCCTCCTGCTCTCTTTCACTCACTCACTCACTCCCTCCCTCCTCTCCAGGGCCCCAAAACCGTGTGGTGACAGACCGCGCGGTAACCTCGAATTCCCAGCAGACCTCACCGCGCGGTCCCGCACGGTCTTGGGACCTCGGAGGCCCACAACCTCGCAGAACTACCCGAGTCCCAAAACCGCGCGGTGACCCCAAATCCCCATCGACTCACCGCGCGGTGTGTTCACCACACCGTTTGGGGAACCCCCATCCGCCCTCCTCGCTCCAGTGGGCGGCAACGTCGTCCACGACGACCACGGCGCAGCCGCCGTCGACACCGACGGACGAAGGCGGCCAGCGGCGGGCTGGCGAGAGGCCCGGGGCCCCCCAAGCCAGGATCCTGGCGCGCACGGGGGCTTCGATAAGCCAGGATCCTGGCGCGCACGGGCAAGCTGCAGCGGTGGGTCGAAACGTGCTCCACTGCTCCCTCTCCCCAAGCGGCATTCTCAGAGTCCTGGTCTGCATTGTCCTGGTTTCCCCCAAGTCTGATGTGGGAAAACATGCGACCTCGCAGCAGATCGCCACCGGAGTCCTGGACCCCTTCCCTCTGTGCCTTTTCTTTCGAGCCGGATCGATCTGTGAGGATCCCGGGGCCCGAGACCGAGCGAGAACGCCCGTTATGACAAAACTGCAACGCCAGGATCTCAAACATGAGATGATAGCATGAGATGCTGGCAGCTTCGATTCGCAACTTCCCCGTGCATGAGGAAGTTCGGCCTCCGCGCCCTGCTCCATACTGAAGTCCTGTGGAACGGGGATAATAACCATGGAGAGCCTTCAGGGGGGAATGCATTACTATCGCCCGCGCTCGGTGAGAGGGCCCCGGTGGGCGGCGGCGGGTCGGCGCCCGGTTGCCCTGGCCGAAGACGCAGCTGACGTCGACCAGCTTCGGCTCGCTCAGGGCGCGGTCCTCGGCGGCCGCGTCGCTCGGCGCTCGGCGGCTCGCTGCGCCTCGGCGCGCTCGCGGGTTGCCCGATCGGCCGCGGCGAGCGGCGGCAGGACCGTCGGCTGGTCGGCGCCGCCCAGGGGCAGATCGGGGGCCGTCCTTTGGCGCTTCGGCGGCGGCTGCGGCGGCGCCTGTGGAGGGCCATCGGGGGCCCCAATGGTTACAGAGGTTACAGAGGCCTCCCAGATTGGGTCGGAGTAGATGAGGTCGGAGGATCTCGCCGCATCGGCGATACATCGGCGAGGTCTCGGCGACGTCGGCTATGCAGCGGCGACGTCAACATGGAAGGGATCGGGCTCCACATCGAACCGCATCGCCGGCATATCGGCGATGAGGCACAATCCTCCGACCTCATCTACTCCGACCAGATGTGTCCATGAGGCCCTCTCAAGAATCCCCCCCTCCCCAAGGACGGTGCTTCATCCAGGCAAATCTTCGACAGTCCTGGGGCCCCGTAAGGGCCCTCAGAAGCAGAACGCTGTCAAACATCTCTCGTCGCACCTTCTGTTTCACAATGAGGTGGCTGTGGCTTCTATCTCGGAGGTGCACCAACATATGCCACGCTTTCCTCCTGCTCATGCTCCTGCTCCTTCTCGTCCTCCTCCCCCCTCTGCCCCCGCCCCTCTCATGTGCCTCTCGTCTTAGCGCCGCGTGCACTCGTTTTTGAAACTTCGCAGCACCTTCGCAGATGGAGCACTGGTGGTTTTCAGAATGTGACTCTCGCCTCAGCGCCGCGCAGATTTGTCTCAAACTTTGCCACAATACCGCGGATGGAGGGCGGGCCGTTTTGTAATGTAGCGTTCGCCTTCGCGCCGCGCGCATCCGTCGGAAACGTGCGCAACGGGTTCACGGAAGGTGGGCAGGTGGTTTTCGAAATGTGGCTCTCGCCTAAGCACAGCACGCAGTCGTCTTCATTTGAAACAGTTTGACGGGTGGAGGGCGGGTGGTGTTCGACAACTGGCTCTCGCCTTAGCGCGGCGCATATTCGTCTTAGACGTATGCAGCGGCTTCATGGATGGAGGGGCCGTGCTTTTCGAAATGTGGCTGTGGCCCTAGCGCCGCGCATTTACTTTAAACTTCTACAGCCGTTTCAAGGGCTTGTTTGGTCGAAGTACCAGGAACGGTGTTCTGGCACGATGTCGGACTGCGGGGGCGCAACACTTACACGGATTTGCGGTGTTGGAGTCCCAGGAATGGTGTCCTGTCTCGTTGTAGAACTGTCAGGACGCAACAGCGGCGTTGCCCTGCGACGTTGAAGTCGCAGGGACGGCGTTCTGGCATGCTTCAAGATTATCAGAGGATTGCCTCCTAATGTGCCAGTCCCAGTGAATGAAAGCAACTTCCTTCAGGGAGGGCTTGTTGCAACATCGTTGATTCCTTATGGGGTTTGCACTGGTCCTCTTCCACCTTCTCCTCACACTCCACTTCCTCCTCCTCCTCCTCATCATTCTCCTCATCCTCCCCCCCCCCCACTGCCTCTGCCTCTCTGCTACTCCTCCCCCCCCTGCTCCTGGTCCTGATCCTGCTCCTGCTCCTGCTCCCCCCCTCCTCCTCCTCATCCTCCTCCTCCTCCTCCTCCGCATCCTCTTCCGTCAAAACAACTTCTCCTTGTCAAACCCCGAGGCTGGTCGAATGGGCGGACCTGGCGTTTCGACTGAGACTTCCTCATCACTTGTGACCCTGAAGCTCAAAATCTGGCAACCGTTTCACCGATTGAGGGCGGATGGTTTTCAACATGTGGCTCTCGCCTTCGCGCCGCGCAAATTCGTTTTCACTATTTACAACAGCTTCGGAGGACTGAGGGCGGTTGGTTTTCAAAGTGTGGCTGTCGCCTTAGTGCCGCGCGCATTCGTTTTAAACATTTGCAAACATTTCACGGGTTGAGGTCAGATGGTTTTCAAAATGTGGCTCTCGCATTCGCGCCGCGCACAGTCGTCATTTAAACAACTTATAAGAGCTTCACGGATTGAGGGTGGGTGGTTTTTAAAATGTGGCTCCCGCCTTCGCGCCGCGCACATTCGTTGAAAACTTTACCAGGGCTTCATGGACTCCAGCGGTCAACGTATCAGAAATTGTGTTTAGGAAAGATTCAGGATTATGAGGGTGTAACAATTACGTTGGTTCGCGGTGTTGAAGTCTTGGGAATAGCGCTCTGGCGCGAGTCAGGATCGTCAATACGCTACATTCAAAGTGATCCGTGGCGCTGGAGCCCCGAGAAGCATATGTTGGCATGTTTCAGGGTCTTCAAACGGTTGTCCTCCAACGATGCAGTTCCCTCAATGGAAATCAACCTTGGAGGGGCCTATGAAGGGGGTGTTTGGAGGATGTGCTTGTGCCAACATCATTCATGATTCTTGGGCTTACACTGGTCCTCCTCCTACTCCTTCTCCTCCTCCTCCTCCTCCTTCTCCTCCTCCTCCTCCTCCTCCTCCTCCTCCTCCTCCTCCTCCTCCTCCTCCTCCCCCTGCTCTGCCCCCTCCTCCTCCCCCTGCTATGCCCCTCATCTCCCCTTCCTCCCTCCGTTTCGTCCCCCTCCCCCGTCCTTCCGCCTTTTCCCGCCCATCCCAGGTATCTCTCTTTCTCTTTCTCTCTCTCTCTCTCTCTCTCTCTCTTCTCTCTCTCTCTCTCTCCTCCCCTCCCTCTTGCTCTCTCTCATTCGCCCTCTCTTCTTCCCCCCCCCGCCCGAGGGAACGCCGCTCGCGACCGCGCACCGCCACCACCACCAGGCCAGCGGCCAAAGGAGGCCCTGAGCCGCCGGCGTGGAAGGTGGCGCCGCCGCCGTAGCAAAAGCTCAGCTCCTGTCGGCGCGCGGGCCCCCCCCCCGCTGCCGCCACGTGCCACGGCTCGACGAGGCCCAAATCTCCGACGATTGGATTGCTGTTTTCGGGAGCGACCAAGAGGGGGGTGTCCACCGGCGGCACGTGCGAGGCCAGCGGGGCCAGGGACGGAATGAAATGAAAAGAGGCGCCATGACATCTGGGGAAATATCACGGCCCACGCCATGATATCCACCCCACCTAGTCATCACCCCCCTCTTTGCCGCCCCCGATTTTCAGTCCCGGCGGTCTTCCGCGATGCTCCCCGGGACCAGCACGCCGAGTCCGTGACGAAAAACCATACCCCTGGGGAAGCGGTTGAGGCTTCTGGGGCTGCGCGTTGAAAGCACGTCGACGGCCAGGGGACTCAGTCGAGAGAGCGAGTGAACGGTGAGCATGTCGACCCCAGCCCCCTACTTTAAAGGGCGCTCGAGTGGGCCTCCAATTCGGGTCCCAACTCGGGCATCTACGCTGGGGTGGTGTCCATTCTCGATCGGGGTGCGTCCGATTGGCTCCCGGGGGGTATACGTATTCTCGAGTTCCCCCTCCTTGTTCTCAGCGGTCTCCTTTTTTCAAGGGAAGGTCGTGGGTTGCGGGCGAGAACTCGCCTGCGAGGAGTCGCTGGAGGGAGAAATGTGAAGACGTTGAGCAAGAGGCAGAGCAAAATGAGGAGGAGGGGACCGTAGCGGACGCGCATGCTGGGGTGTTGTTGCTCTTTCTTCGACTCGTAATGTGTTCAGTATGCGCGGCACTGCCTCTCGGAGGAAGGGGGCGGGAGGTCATGAGGGGGGAGGAGCAGGAAGGGGAAGGCCAAGGGGAAGCAAGGGGAGAATGGATGGGGAATGAGGAGACCCAGACCACCGCGAGCCGTGAAGAAAAGCACCACGGGCGGCGTTGGGCTATTTTCGGCCACTGGGGGCCCTTACCAGGACCGTCAAAAAACGATTCGGGATGCCATTGGTGCCAGGGGATGACATTGGTGCCAGGGGAAGGGTCGAGACCTCTACTAGGGGTTCACGTTGTTGGGCAAATCATGACGCCGGGAGTCTGGTGAAGGGGGCCGAGGAGGAGAAGCGGGGTGTGGAAGCTGCCCATGTCGATGTTGCTTCCAGCGAGGCAGCTGTAGACAAGGGTGCATCATCAGGCATTTGCTTTCGCTCAGTGCGATCGGCTCACCTGCTGCGACCTGCGAGACCTGCTGGATGTATGGCGCAGTGCTCCAGTCCGCAAGATTTTGTCTGCCGCGACCCTCCCCGCCCAAGACAGATTCCACCCCTGGACCACGCGTAGTATACAAAAACCGCGCCCCAGGGAGGGAGTGTTGTATGCCAAACCCGCGACCAGGACCCTCGTCCGCCACTCATGGCGGTTGGGCATAGTATATGATGCTTTGGAGCGGATCCAACTTCGCCCGTCTTCGATACTGCCTTTGCCCCTTCGTCTCGCCTGGCTATGGAACGCCCTGGGACCGAAGATGGCCCAGTTCCTCCACGATACTCCCTGCTGCTCCTCCACTTGCACAGCTTCCTCCATCCTCCTCCCCCATCGTCCTCCCGCCTGCTCACAACCCCTCACTCCCTACTCGGTTGGCCCTCCTCCCTCTTTCCTCCCATCTTTCCCACCAGCCCTGAACAGAAACATCTTATTCGGTTTGAGTCTCCATCTCCGCTCAGTGTTCAGACGCTCTGATTAGTGAAAGGATATTTTCAGTATCATTCCGTATCTTCCCACCTCCTACCTTTTCCTTCCTTCCTTCTCCCTTCTTCCTCTTACTCGCTCCTCCGTCTCCGCCTGCCCAGGTGGGCCCTAGAGTGTAGCGCAAAGGTGCTATACCACGAGCCTTCGTAGGCTTTCTTGTGGCAATGTTGGCGTACACCCTCTGGCACCATCTCGTCTCAAAGGGATCCCGTGATAAGGGGTTCTTGAACTGAAGGATGAACTTCTTTCCGCGTGTGCGGCATGCTGCCCCCGCGCGTTGCCGCTGATTGGTTGATGCCTCCGGTTTGGCAGCGCTCAAGTTCGATTGTTGGCATGTCTTACCCAGTTTATCCCCGTTCCTCTTAATTTGAAACTCTTCCCTTCTCTCTCTCTCTCTCCCTCTCTCTCTCTCTCTCCCTCTCTCCAACATGTCAGCTGGCATTTTGAGCAGCGCCCTGAACGGCCCCATATTGTTCCCAACAGCCCTGTGGTGTCGGGCCCTCCCTCTGAAGAGGCAGCGCCCCGCGTCCTCCTCCTTCTTCCTTCCGCTCCTCCCTCCTCCCTTCCCTGGTTCTGCCCTCCCTCTAAGGGAGCTGCACCGAAGCTCCCCAGGGGGTGGCGTCGCAGATCGTTCCCCAACAATGTCGGCACACCCCGTCACACGCTTCCTGGCCCCATGAGGGGCCTCCACCGGAGACCTCGTGGCCAGTGGTTCGCATAGCGTCGCCCAGCCCGCTTCGGCACACACCCCTCACACGTTCTGTGGCCCCATCGGGAGCTCCAACGAAGCCCCCCACGTGGGAGGGTCGCATAGCGTGAGCAGCAACAGGGGGCTCCACCGAAGCCCCCAAGGCCAGGAGGTCGCGTAGCGCCTCCCAGCACCCCTCGAACGTTGCGTGGCACCATCGGGAGTTCCATCGAAGCTATCAAGGGGGACGATCGTATTGCGTCCCGCAGCACATTCTAGCACATCCCCTCGCGCGCTTCGCGTCTAGGAGGCTCCACCGAAGACCCGAGGGGGAGGGGCGGGCGCGTAGCGTCCACCAGCCCATTGCGGCGCACCCCTCGCATGTTTCGTGGCCCCACAGGGACCTGCACCGAAACCCCTGGGGGAGGGGGGCCACGCTTGCATGTGGTCGGGTCTTTCGCCATGATCTTGTTTCAGATGCGGTGGTGCTCTCCACCTGTGACACTGGATTCGGGGGCAGGTGGCGAAGCCCGCACTCGAGCGTCTTGCTCCTGCACCCGCCTTGAGAGAACAACGCCCGACTCCAAACTGAAGACTCCTGTCCGTCCGTCCTTCTCCCTCCGCGTTCATCGCTCCTCCTCCTCCTCCTTCTCCTCCTTCTCCTCCTCTTCCTCCTCCCCCTCCTGTCTCTCCTCCTCCTGTCTCTCCTCCTCCTCCTCCTCCTCCTCCTCCTCCTCCTCCTCCTCCTCCTCATGGCCGGCGGCATGTGCGCGGCCCAAGGGGGGGGGGGCCAAGGACGTAATGAGATGAGGAGTGGCGCCATGAAATCTGGGAAAAATATCATGGCCCACGCTATCATATCCCCCCCCCTCATCATCACCCCCTCTTTGCCGCCCCCGACGTTTGCTCGGACCCCGGCTTGGGAGGCCGGGAACCGAAGAGAAGCGAGGCCACTCGCGGGCCCAAGCGCCTCGGCGGGCCTGCGAGAGCTGCGAGAGGCGCCTCGCCTCCCGCGCAGACGCCGCCTACGACAGGGACGAGGAGGAGGACGACGACGAGGACGACGACGACGACGAGGACGACGACAAGGACAACGACGAGGACGACGACGACGAGGACGAGGACGACGCCGCTCCTTGACCTCCAGCGCTGGGGTGGCGTCCTCCATCGCCGCGTCGCAGCTGGCGGCCTCTGTGCCATCGGCGGGGCGCTTGGTGCCCCCCGTGCCGCCGGCGTCCATGTTGGAGCTCCAGTCGGTGGGGAACCTGAGGCGACCGCCGCTGCGCGGCAGGCAGTAGTGCCCGCCCTCCGCGACCGGTGGCCAGCTGGAGGGCGCATCCGCCACCGCGCTTGCAGTAGCTGGTGTGTGTGTATGTTTGCTCCTGTGCGCCCATCATCGTTTGCACTTTACAATTTGCAACGTCTCGTGCACTGTGCCTTCGACAGTGCTCGATCGAAATTAAGCATCTCCATCTGCTGCCCGCGCTTGAAGACACCCTGCGCCGCCGACTTAAACATGTGCTTGTGCGTGTGCGCGTGTCGATTGGGCAGGGAGCGATCGTCCCGGCATTCCTATAGGGCTACCACGAAATGTTCTTAGAGCCCCAACATGTTCTAAGAAGAGAAACACTTCTTATAACATCAGCGCGATGTGTTGGAACAAGACAATCCCCGCCAGACGTGCTCTAATAACATGCCGTGTAAACCACAACAAGTTCTTAGAACATTCTTGGGTAGGCCGATAGGCGAGCCAAGACGCTTCGCCACTGCTTGAGCGAATCTACGACGCCCACTGCTTTGGGGTGCTTCCCCGGCGCGCCCGCCGCTCGCCTCGCGCAGCCGGCCACTTGCGACGCCTAGACTCACGCTTTCATCATTTTGCCCCCTGCCGCCGCTCGCTGCGGCGACGTCGTCTGGCTGGCCGAAGAACTGAGTATCGCTTAACCAATCCCCATCCCTGGCGGCGTGGCCTGGGCCCACTGGCCGATCTACCCCCCTAGATGGGGATATAGGGCGTATCCTTCAGGTTTCGAGGGGTGTATCCCCAACTGGGGGGGTAATTTGGTGGGGGTCTCGAAGGGCTTGGGGATGGCGATGGGGATCGGTTAAACGATACCGAATCTTCAGAACAGAAACGCTGACGCCGCCTCGCTTCGTGAGCGCCTCTGTCGTCCCGCCCTTCCTCTCGCTCTCGCCTCGCGGCTGCCCTCCGTGCGATCCCGCTCCGCTCGCGCTGTGTTGCGGCACTGCGGCCATGCCCTGGCGGATGCTCACCACCCAGAATTCGCCTCCGAATCGCCTCCGCCTATCGTATAGGTGTGTGTGTGTGCGCGTGCGCGTGTGCGTGTGCGTGTGCGTGTGCTTGTGCGTGTGCGTGTGCGTGTGCGTGCGTGTGTGTGTGTGTGTGTGGGTGTGTGTGTGTGTGTATGTGTGTGTGTGTGTGTGTGTGTGTCGGGCCCTTGCCTTCTTTAAGTAGGTCGGTCTGCGTCTGCGGGGCAGGTGCCAGGGCCGCCCGACGTCTCGAATCAGACATGCGCTCGTGATTTGGAGTTTGACCCTGCGATGTCTCCCTTCCGCGCAGAAGAAATATGATAATCATTGCCGCAAGTGGAGCGTTCCGTGCCCCCCCTCCCACCCGAGGCCCCCCCCTCGCACCCCCCCTGGTTCCCAGGCGCTTTCCCCGCGCGCGGTCGCAGATTCATACGGGGGCGCGTCTAGATTGACTCAATATGAGTTATGGCGTCCTGCACGCACCTGGCCGAAAAGTCGGACTGCAAGCCTCCTTGTGGCGGCCAGGGGTAACTTGATGCTGGCAGTATCTGTCGACGGCCGTCTTTCCCCAGAGGTGGCGGAAAACATCAAGGCCAAAGAAATATAAGGGGGCCTCCAACAGACGCAAATGTGCCGTGACGGCGGTCCGTGGCAGCCGACCCAGGGAGTGTAGGCCTGGTGCCCTGACTTTATAGTCCTCGCCGCATCGGGGGGTGCGGTCACGACTCCTACTGGGAAGGCTGTCATTGGGTGCAAGGGAAATCCGCGAGCAAGGGAAGGCTTCAGAGGGGTGTCTGGCCTCCCTGGCAATGCTCCCGAGTACTGCCACGCGCAAAATCGCCCTGCGGCGGATGGCTAAGCCAACCGCCAGGAGTGGTCATTTTGACCTTTGCAGCTCTTGTTCCGCGTGCTGCACGCTGGCAACAATCAGCGCCTGAGATGCAAAAAAGTCGAACTGAACTCGCCCGTTCATCCACAATCCGCGTTGTACCAGAGCTCACCCATCCAACCAGAAGGGTTCATCCAAATCTTGCTTCTCCCTTCTAGCCTCTTCTGCGACGCACTTGCTGTCTCTTCAACCTGGATGAGGAAACTCCCCGCCAGAGTGGCACAAGTGGACTGGAATGAACGGGCGTCCACGTCTGGATGGAAGTGCGGAACTGCGTCAACGTCTGGACGGAACGTCAGACAATTGCGGGTGCCAAAAACGCCTTCTCGACCCAAGCCGGCGATCTGCTGGCATAGACTCTGCAAAACGCACGCATGCGAACGCTTCAACGGGACCTCCGTTTACCTATACAACTCTTTCCCGATGCCATCTGCAACCAAACTTCACACAGCACCCGAAAAGCATCACACCTGGCATAGACGTTCCTTTGCCTCCTCGGCGCTCCAACGACCTTCTTCTAATGTCGCATGGTTCAACCCAAACGCTCGTGGCCAAATTGTGAATCTCGTACGATTGAACATATTGCGCCGGCAACCGAGCTGTACAACTCACGAAGGGCTCCCATTAGAGAATGGCCGGTAGAAAAGGTCAGGGGGCCCTCCTTGTGCGAGCTGCTCGATTCCACCGCTGGCCGCCCTTTGGCTTTATGCAAACTGACTGGGCACTAGAATGGCGGCGCAGGCTGCGGACGCAGAGTGCCTTTGCTTCTCATGCCATAGCCATCCTGGTCCGAAGCCTGATCTTCGAGGAGCGAGCACGCAAATGATTCGGGCACACGTGCGGCAAGGCGCCGGGCGAAGGTCTGCGAAAACACCAGTCGATCGGAGAGAGTGCCGAACATCAGGAGCCCACGTTGAGAAATTGAACAAGCACGTCTTCGAGATTAAACAATGCTGCACTAGCGTGATCAAGTCCCCGAGGTCCGTCCTGGAAACATGATTTGTTCGTAGGATGGTGCGTCGAGAATGCCCATCTCATCAAAAGAAGTCGATGGCATGTCCGACAAGCTCCTGAGCTGACTGAGAACCGCCACTGCCTCAACATAGCCTGACCCCAAAGTAGTTTCAACGTAACTCCTCATGTGGCTGCATTCGTACCCGAAGTTGCATTTGTGCAGTAATCCCTAGCCTAGTTCAGCTGAGCATTTAAAGTATTGAAGTGGCTGACCCTGCTCCAGCATAGCTTAACTCAACTCAGCTCTGCGCGAGCTGAGCTTCGTTCGGCTTGGACGGGTCAGGACCAATTTACCCTGTCCAGTGCCACACCGTCTTGAGTTCGAGTAGTGCAGCTTCGCCTACCTGAGCTTGGCTTCGAAGAGTATGGCTTCACTTGGGCTAGCTTGGATAAGGTTTCGGTGTCCAACATAAAGCTCCTTTCAGGTCTGTCATTGTCGTAGAAATGGCATTGTAATGAACTTGATGCTTCGCATGCGAGTTCGTTGTTTGCTCACGTGAAGGTATCGCGTTGGCCACATTCGTAACATTAACTCTACGCGTTCGCTTAGGCGTTCGCATTGGTGTCGGCCTTGGCATTGGCGTTGTCAGCCGCCTGCGTAGCATACCTTGTCTGACGTGGGCGTTGTACAACTGAATCTTGACATGATGTGAACTATTCGCGCTGCTCTGGCAACATTCGTTTTAGACATAAATCACATGCACGGGTACGTATTCTCTTCTTAGACCGTGCAATGGGATTACACCCGTGGTATCGAGCCTGCTGGCTGTTCGAACCAGGTGGTCAAACGAGTAGACAGTGTTGGTGTCGTATGTGGGCATTCGTATCTTGCCATTTGTGTTACGTATGCGGCTTCGATCGGCACGCAACATATTACCATATGGGGTTATGTGGCACTGGCTTCGCTGGGCTGAATCCAACTCGGTACACGTCGATGCAGCTATGTGTGGCACATATCTTCCCGCCTCTTGACCAATACTTTGTCGTATGGAGTACCACCTCTTCACAAGTAACATACTCCGTTGCAATTTAGGCCTCACGCCGAACACATGTGCATGATAACACACGTGTCAATCCGTCACCAACCAATCGATCGAACAATACAACACGCAATCGAACGACCATGCTGTTGCGATCAATTCTACACGAACGTGTAAACACGAGCGCAACCACTCGAGCACACACGAACAAGACCAAGCTGGGCAGCAGTGTGCAGCAACGCGGGGCCAAGCTGGACCAACCCAACACATAAAATACTGACCGCAGGCAAGCCAGCGCATGTGCAGTCGCAAACAGGCTGCGCTCGTAACACATCCAAGGCAGAAGCTGAGACAACAGATTTGACTGGGGCCCAGGGACACACAAATAAATACACGCACATGACAGAATCCCCCATATTTTCCAATATTTTTGGGGTATTCGTCTTCCCCCCACACTTCCTATATGTATTTTTTCCCCTCATGAACATTACGCATCAATCTGGGCAGGCGGGCGCAGGATTGACGGGTACTGGGGTGGGCGCTGCGAACTTTGGATCGACGGGGGATCCCCAACCCCCACCAATGTTCCTCCCCAATCTCCTCAGCCCAGACATCCCAATTTCCCTCCCCAGTTTTCCTCCCCTGTTTTGCTCCCCAGTGCTCTTCACCCAGACATCTGACGATACGGTTCTCTCAATGTGTGGTCTCAGAGGTTCCGACCCCTTCCCCAGCGGTAGGTTTTCCTCCCAAGTGCTCTCCACCCAGACATCCGACGATACGGTTCTCTCCATGTGTGGTCCCAGAGGCTCCGGCCCCTTCCCCAGCGGCAGGCTTTCGTTCCAGATCCTTGTTTGATGGGCCCTTGGGATAGCGGCCCCCAGAGGCCGACATCAAGGACATACGCCCTGATTGGAAAAAGCATGTCGTCGGAGATCTGTAAATATCCTCCTGCCCCCTTCTCCGCCCTCCCTTCCACACACCGCAAGGGAGGAAGAGGAGAGGGAGGACCAGTGCAAACCCAACAGCCATCAACGATGTTTGAATACACCCTCCCTCTAAGCGCCCTCTTCAGAGGCCCCTACAACGGTTCATTTCCATTGAAAGATCTGCCCCGTTGGAAGACAATCGTTTGAAGACCCGGAAGCATGCCAAAACATTGTTCTCGGGATTCCAACGCCACGGATCAACCTGACTTTTGCGTCTTGACGATCCTGGATCTTCGGATTTCAATACCTCGAACGAACATAACTGTTGCACCGCGGGGAACCGTGAAAATCTTGGTATGTGTATACACGAATGTGCGCGGCGCTGAAGCGAAAGCCACATGTTGAAAACGTGTTATCCTCAATCCGTGAAGCGCTTCGAATGTGCGCGGCGCTAAAGAGACAGCCACATTTCGAAAACCACCCGCCCTCCATCTGTGAAGCTCGGGCAAATTTTAAGCTTCAGAATCATAAATGGTGGGTGAATCTCCTGGGAAACGCCCGGCCCGCCCTAAAAGCTTGCCTCGGGGTGCGACAGGGAAAAATTATTGGGGGGCAAAGGTGAGGAGGACGACGTGGCGCCAGAGCCGCTGGCGCGGCCAACGAGCCATGCTCGGGGCCGACAGGCTTTTGAGCAGAGGGCTTGCTTCGCTCGCCTTGCCGCGTGAACGCGGCACCGGCGGCGAGGCTTCTTAGCAGTCCTCCACCGTGACCCTCAGGGCCTGGCACGCGCCCGCTGCCCTGGCAACGCGAAGGCGGCCGGGAGCGACGATCGCAGGTTCGTTTTCCACTCTGTCTGGGTCAGGGGCTGCGGCTCACAGGCAAGAAGGAGCGTGCGCCCCTCCCCCCTCCGAGCCTCCCCCTCCTCCTTCCTTGTGCAGGCTGGAGGGCGCGCGGTTGCGCCCGTAGCGTCACTGGCCCGCGGTGACCCGCAAGGAAGCAAGACATGCACAATGACAGAATAGATCGGCAATAGCATCTGTCCGAACCTGTTGGCCGACACAGCCGTCTGCAGACGTTCGTGGCGGAGGTGGAATGCAAAACTCGGCCCCAAGTGGCGCGGAGTTCTGGGGAACCAAATCAGCTCCGTACGTTTAGTTGTTGAAGGCTGCGGCGTGGTGGGGGGTCGTATGAATGTGTACGTGCGTACGTTAGCCAGCGCGGATCCCATACAGCGTTTCTCTTATAGCGTGCGTGGCTCATGCCATGGTCTGCATTTTCTGTTGTACAGCTTGCGTAGCGCAACCTACGTGGTGAATCTGACGTGGTGCAATAAATGGTGTTCGCACTATGTGGTGCAACGTATGCTGTGCAACGCGCGTGGTGCACTGTACGCGGTTCAAAGTATGTGGCGCATGCTGCTTCGTGCAGCGCAACTGGTGCAAACTACGTATTGCAACCGATGTTGTAAAGTGTACGTTGAACAAGTTATGTGGTGCAGCCTACGTGGTGCAATGTCGGTTGTGCAAATGATGTGGCGCAATACAGGTTGTAAAACACATGTGGTGCAATCCACGCGCTTCCATACATGTCGTGCAAACTATACGGTGCAGTCCAGGATGTACAATCTGCGTGTTGCAGCGTATGATGTGCAACTCGCCCTGCCGAACTGGAAAATTTCAACTCCATTGCTCGCGCAATCGTTCCACCCACCCACCCGCAACTTGATAGGCAAAACCCATGCGGCGGCGATTGCGATGAATGTCTGGTGTTGGCTTGTGCATCTCTGCCGCCTGGCCCGCGCATGCCCGCGCGCGCAGCGGCCAGCTATTCTGGCGCGACCGACGCGGCCGCGGTGGCGTTGACCGCTGGGCACTTAACAGCGGGCAGTGCCGTGCGACTCGGCGACTACGGCGGGCGCGGTAGCATGGCAACATCGGCAATTTTGGACGCGGTGATCATGGGCGCGACGCTGGCGACGATGGTGGCAAGGACGACGGCAAAGCCATTGACGGCGCCGATGCTGATCACGCCTTCGACGATGACGGCGCCCTCTCGTCGGAGATGAATGGTTCGGTGGGGGCTCGACATGTGCGCGCGGCCGACGCGCGACACTGGTCCGCAGAATCTCGTTTGAGACGGATCCTGCACCCCCAACGCGCGCAAAGGGCGTTCGAATGATTTCGACCTGTGACGCGGGAGGCCCGATTGGCCGAATTGGATGAAATTGTAGGAAAATATCCTTTCTATAAAAAAACTACGTTTTAAAAGAATTCGCAGGAGTGCGGGCGCATGTATTTTGAAAACTGATGTTGCCAAACCATGTGATTGTTTCTTTGTTTCGGGACACTCGGTTTTGAGACTCCTACGAAACCCAATGTGTTCAAAGATTTGGGATGCGCGCGCGACAGCGCGCGCGTGCGCACTGCGTCCCGATGTTAACAAGGGCTCCTTGCGACAGCACGCGCGCAAGGGCGCCCAAACGATTCCGACATGCGCGCGCGAGAGGCCCGTTTGGTAGCATCTGCTGAATATATATATATATTATATATATATATATATATATAAATATATATATATATGTGTGTGTGTATATGTATATGTATATAAACATATATATCATGTAATAGCGGTGGTTTGTTTAAGAATTCGTACGACTCCGGGTGCAAGCTGTTTTTGGGCATCCCTGTTGCGAAACCATGTTTTTTTAATGTCGGACGCCCCGTTGTGAAATCCTTACGAAAATCTAGGTTTGTTCAAGGATGTCGGCATGCGCGCGCGACGACGCGCGCGTGTATTTTGCCACGCTTTTGCATAGGATCCTTGAAAACAGCGGACGTTGGATCAACGAGTGTGTGCTCATAGTATGCGTAAAACTTGCAATGCGCAAAAAGGGTCCCAATAATTCTGGGCGGAGGGTATGTCTCATTATTTTCTTAGACAGGATAATATAGGTCGTGAAACCTATGTGGTGCAATCTACGCGGTACACTATAGGTTGCGCAAATTATGCGGTACAGCATTTGTTGCCTGCGTGCGTGTTGCAAACTATGCGGCGGAAACTACGCTGTGCAAGCGGCGTGGTGCAACTAATGTGGTTCAGTTGAATACCCTGCGCCGCGCATGACCACCTCCTGTGCTCGTGCAATCATCCCACCCACCCACCCGCAACTTAGTTTGCAAAATGCTACGGTGATTGCGATGACTGACCGGCGCTGGCTGGCGCATCGCTGCGGCCGCCCCATGCTCGCGCATGCTCGCGCGTAAAGCGGCCAGCTAATTTTGCGCGACCGAGCCGACCGCGGTGGTGCTGACCGCTGAGCACTTCACAACACGTCTCGCAAGCCGCGCTTACGCATGGACACCTCCGTGCGAATCGTTGACATGGGCGGGCGCGGTATTGTGGCAACGTCGACGACGGCAAACACGACGATGATAGTAGCAGTGCTGGCGACGATGATGACAGTGGCGACGGCAAAGCCAATGACGGCACCGATGCTGGTCACGCGGGTGACGATGATGGCGTCCTCGCGTCGGTGATCAAGGCTCTGGAGGGAGTTCGCCATGCGCGTGCGGCCGACGCGCGCGAATGATCGTCCCCCCAGCACGCGCGAAGGGCGTTCGAATGATTTTGACACGCGCGCGCGAGAGGCCCGCTTGACCGCATTTGACAAAATGTTTGCACAAACCTTTATTTCGAGTTCGTGAGGGCGCGCGCAGACTTTGTTTTGAAAATTCACGTTGTCAGCTAGTGTGAACAACACTTTCGGGACGCTATGTGTAAATCTCTACGAAACCTGGGGTCATTAAAGGATTTCGGCATCCGCGCGCGACGATTCGCGCGTGTGGACTTCGTCCCATTTGTTGCAAGGCATTTTTGCACATGGACGATGGTTCGTACACGACTGCGCGCGAATGGGCGGTGACAAGGCAAGTCGATCCGCCACCGTGCCCTTGGGCACGGAATGGGCGTGTCCTCAGGTCCCGTACCGAATCCTCTGAGCCTCGCCCCTCGCTCATGCGGATTCTTCAGGGGACCCGCAACCCTCGCTCTCAAATCTCCCGGGGCGTCTCGCGTGGCCCTTGGGGTTCCCGGAATCTTATCGCATGACTTGTTCAAGTCCAAGAGGGCCTCAGGACGGGCCAGCGAGGTCCCCGCGAGGCCCTCAAGACGGTTCAAGAAGGCAGCGAGGCGCGGAAAGATCGCTCCCGAGACGCCCAAGATGGCCTCAAGATAGCTTAAGAGTCCCCCAAGAGACCCTCAAGACGCCCCAAGATGCCCCCACGAGGCCTCCCCAGAAGCCCCTAAGACCCCTCCGAGAGACCCCCGGGAGGCATCCCAAGGGACCTCCATAAGCATACAAGAGGCCTCTGAACAAAGCCCAGGCATGGTGGCGGGATGGGCCCAAGGCCATTCGGTATACACAGACATCTACGCGTGCAAATAAAACCGGATGTGCACACATACACACATGTGCACCCTCCATTTCCTCCTTTGTACCCTGATGTTGCCCTCCCCCGCAGGGCGGGTCGGCCCGGGTCGGCCCTGGGGGGGGTGATCAAACTAATGAGCCAGGCGACTCCTGGAGCGCATGCTCCAGGAGTCGCCAGCTGTGGGGAATAATTTGAAATAAAGTGTAATTCGACAGGGGCAGACGGGCGAGTGAGGAGAAAAAGAGAGAGAGAGAGAGAGTGGGAAGGAAGGAGGAACAGACTGGCGTCCAAAACATCAGGGGGGAAGAGAGGGGAGACCGTGGTAGTGCCAGGTGCGGTCCTCCTCCTTTCCTCCTCCTCCTCCTCCTCCCCCTCCTCCTCCTGCACCTCCTCCTCCGCCCCCTCTTCCTTCTCCTCCTCCTCCTCCTCCTCCTCCGCTCCCACCTCCTCCCCCTTCTCCTCCTCCTCCTCCTCCTCCTCCTTTTCCTCCTCCTCCTCCCCCTCCCCCTCCGCCTCATCCTCTTGCTCAGCTCCCTGGCAGAAACAAGCGCACGGCAAAGAACACCAGAGAGGAGGCCCACCTGTTGCAGACCATGGCGCCGGACAACAAAAAAATGCGCTGGTCACTGGGCAGCCGCTCCGGCCGCTGCTTGGGGTCTAAATGGCTTGCCGCACCGATGCTGGAGGAGGAGGAGGGCGCCGACAAGTTATACATACACCGATCCAGGCCATGCCCATCCTGCAGCCAGGATCTGTGTATACAGCCTCCTGGCTTGGTCAGGACGGCACAAACACCGACTCTGGGCCTAGCATCGGCCTTGCCAGGATTGGTGAAGGTGTATAGCTGGCACCCTCCTGCAGAGGTCGGCTGCACGGCCAGGATCGGGTCGGAAGATAGAGGGGTGGTCGTAAAAAGGGTGGGCCGGCGAATCAGATAGCGTGGTGAGGAACACGGTAGAAAGACCCTTCCCCCTCGTTTCCAGCGCTTCTGCGAGTTCTCTTCTCCCCTCCCCCCCTTTAACCCATCGGTCTCCTTCTACTAGTCCTCATTCGTCATCCTCCTCCATCGCCATCCTTCAGAGCATCTTCGACCGTTATGCTCCTCCCCCTCCCTCCTCCAACTCCCTCCTCCTCATTACCATCCTCCTCCCGCACTCGTCCTCGACCTCGACCTTCTCCTCCTCCGCTGCCTCCAGATCCCTTCTCATATCTCCTCCATCCCAGAACGCTTCTCCTGCATCGTTCTCCTCCTCCGCCCCCTCCAGATCAATTTTCTCCTCTCCATGCTCCTCCCTCATACTTCCTCGGTTTTCTGTCCCCCCTCTACACTCCTCTCCTTTTTGTTTCATCCTCCTCCTCCTGCTCATCATCACCCTCATCCTTCTCCCTCCTGAGTGGCGCAGAAGAAGAAGAACGCTGAAGCATGCACTAAGTCCAGGATCACAAGAGAGACCGAGCGGAAGAGGTACAATTTTTTCAAACAGAAAGCACGAGGAGGCAGGACGCACGGGGGGGGTCCGCGCAGGGGGGGAATGATCCGAGGAGGTGGGGGAAGGAGCAGGAGGGAAGACAACAAGGAGGGACTCGCGCCTGCGCCCTGAGGAGGAGGAGGAGGAGGAGGAGGAGGAGGAGGAGGAGAAAGAGGAGGGGGAGGAGGAGGAGGAGGAGGAGAAAGAGGAGGAGGAGGAGGAGAAAGGAGGAGGAGGGGGAGGAGGAGGAGGAGGAGAGGAGGAGGAGGAGGAGGAGGAGGAGGGGGAGGAGGAGGAGAAAGAGGAGGGGGAGGAGGAGGAGAGGAGGAGGAGGAGGAAGGAGGAGGAGAAGGAGGAGGAAAAAGAGAGAAAGAGGAGGAGGAGAGGAGGAGAAAGAGGAGGAGGGGGAGGAGGAGGAGGAGGAGGATGAGGAGGAGGAGGGGAGGAGGAGGAGAGGAGGAGGAGAGAGGAGGAGAAGGAGAGAGGAGGAAGGAGGAGGAGGAGGAGGAGGAGGAGGAGGAGGAGGGGGAGGAGGGAGGGAGGAGAGAAGGAGGAGGAGGAAGGAGAAGGGAGGAGGAGAAAGAGGAGGAGGGGGAGGAGGAGGAGGGAGGGAGGAGGAGGAGGAGGAGGAGGAGGAGGAGAGAAGGAGGAGGAGGAAAAAGAGGAGAAGAGGAGGAGGAGGAGGAGGAAGAGGAGGGGAGGAGGAGAGGAGGAGGAGGAGGAGAGGAGGAGGAGGGAGAGGAGGAGGAGGAGAGAAGGAGAAAGAGGAGGAGGGGGAGGGGAGGAGGAGGAGGAGGAGGAGGAGGAGGAGGAGGAGAAGGAGGGAAGACAACACGGAGGGACGAGGTTCGAGGGTGAGAAGGGGCTCCTGCCTGCGCCCTACGCGGCGGGCGCAGGCTCGCCGCCGCGGCCCCGAGCCTGAGCCCCAGGCCGCCGCAGCGGGCTCGCCGCGGCGGTGGCCCGCGGCGGCCCGGGGCTCCCAAGAATCCGTCTCCTGGCGGCTGCTCCTCGAGGTCCGGCCACCCCCAAGAGGAAGCGCGCAGCGTCTCGGTGTCCTGCCCCGTCCTCTCGCCTCTCCCGTGTCCTCCCCCACGTCCTCTCTTCTCCTCCTCCGTCCGTCCTCCCTCCCTCCCCCTGCCCCTTCTCCTCCGGTGCCTCCTCTCCTTTGGCGGCCTGGCTGGGCCAGCACTCAGGGATGGCCAGGACGCAACCCTGCTCGGGGTGGTCGATGCCGCTTGTCTTGACGGGTGGAGCCAGCGACCAGCCGAAGACTTGGAGCAGGCGGGGCCCCAGTCTGGTGGTTGGGTCATGCAAGGGGGTCCCTCCCCTGGGCTGCGTTTTGGGATCCCAGATCGGCGCGGTGACCCCCCAAGGAGCCCCAATGAGACAAGAGATGGCGACTCAAAACTCGTTTCATCCACGGGCACCAGCCCCTCCAGAACTGTTGGAAAGCAGCAGTCCAAGCGCCATGCTGACCTGCTAGGCCTCGGGCGCTGTCAGCGCCACCGGCGCCGCAAAACGGTCTACTGCATCGACCGTGGACATAAATACATACAGCCGCCCACCACACAAACAAACCAACCATCGTGAGACACGCGGCTGTGCTTTGAGGTCCCAAATCGGTGCGGTGACAGACTGTGCGGTGACCTCGATATCCCCAGCGATGTCACCGCACGGTCCATCTCCGTACTGTTGTAGGGCGGCTCCTGGTCCCCATAGAAAAGGCCCAGACCTCTGCAGTGGCCCACGCTGTGACAAAGCCACGACGTCGGAGCTATGGGTCCTGTCCACTTCCTCCTCCTCCTCCTCCTCCTCCTCCTCCTCCTCCATGCCTTGTCCTTATATACATATATGTATGCACACCTCCTCCTTGTCGCACCTCTAGACGTATCAGTAGGGCGGGCTGGGCGTTTCGCCTGAGACCCCCACATCAATCATGATCCCGAAGCTTGAAGTTTGAAGTAACTCCACGGATGGAGGCTTGTTCGTTTTCACAGTGTGAATCTCGCCGTAGGGCCGCGCATACTCGTCCTTTGAGTTTGTAAGAGCTCCACAGATAGAGGACGGATCAGTTTCAAACTCCGGCTATCGCCTTAGCGCAGCGGGCAATGGTCCTCAAAGTTCACAGCAGTTTCAAGGATTCAAATGGTTGGATTCCAGGAAGGGTACCTTGGCACGATTTGGGATTGTCATGACGCAACAGTCACGTTGCTTCGCGGCATTTCAGTCCCAAGAATGGTGTTCTAGCACGACTTACGGCTGTCAGGGCGCAGCAGTCACGTTGATTTGCGGCGTCAAGTCCCAACCATGTTGTTTTGGCACGCCTGTCGTCCGAAAACGCACTTCCCGCAATGAACATGAAGTCCTTGTAGCGACTTACGAAAAGGGAACTTCGAGAGAGGGTTTGTTGCACAATCACTGATGCGCCTTAGGTTTGCACTGCTCCTCATCCTCCTTCACCTGCCTCCTCCCTCCTTCACTGCGGTGCTTCTGGGCACGGCGTGGGATAGGTTTCCCATGTCTTTCTGGCTTTGGTTTGTCGTTGGAATAAGGGGGTCCAGTGGGAGGGCCTTCTGTGCATATACACTACCCCAGGCCAGGCCCATCATGCGCCCAGGATCGGTCTACACGTCCTGCTGGCTCTTCCAGGGAAGCGTGTACACGGATCCTGGGCTCAAGGTGAGCGTGGCCATGGTCACTCGAGATGCTGCCCCACGGCCCGCCCCAAATCTCCCAGAACCACAAACGGCCCCCAGAAAACCTGCAACCACTGCAAAAACTCCTGGCCCGACGACGTCGAAGACCCCCGGAAAAAGCGGCCTAAACCAGCGACGCCGTCCGATCGTTCTGCGCACCGTCGGACCGACGAGCCGCCCGCGCAACGGCGCGGCCGCGCGCTGCCCGACGTCGGTCGCGCGGGGGCGGGGCCGCCGCGGCGAGCGCGGGCGGCGCAGGGGCGGGCACGTGCGTGCGCTCGCGCGGGGACGCGGCCGGCGGGCGCCTCCGCCTTGAGCGCCGCGGCGCGCTTGGCGCGCTCGGCCTTGCGCTCTGCGGCCTCGCGGGCCTGCGGGGCGGCGCGGCGCGGGAAGTTTAGCCCTCCTCCTCTGACCGCCTCGAATCGCGAAGAAACCATAACCGAAATCCCACCAGCGTGGTTTAGGACGTTTCCTATTCCAACCCCATCATTCCACACCGGGGAGTCGGAGAGGGGCTTATCACTGTTCCCTACCAAAAGGCACCACCTCCCCTAAGCGACTGGCACCTGACCCGCACCCATGATCCCCCCACGATCCGTTGTAAAAACAATGCGCAATTCACTATGCCTCCAAATTTGGAGCATGCGCGGGCGCCACCTGGCCATTTTGCGTATATTGTTGAAAAGGACGGGGGGGTGCCACATATTGCTTGCTGCGCGCAGGCCGACCATCCCTGTCAAACATACAACACAAACACACACACACACACGCACACGCACACGCACACGCAACCGCACGCGCACACGCACATGCACATGCACACGCACACGCACGCGCGCACGCACACGCACGCGCACACGCACACGCACACGCACACGCACGCGCACACGCACACGCACGCGCTCCAACGCGTACCCACGCGCACCCACGCGCACCCACGCGCACCCACGCGCACCCACGCGCCCACACGCCCACACGCCCAACCAGCCACACAGACACACAGCCACCCCCACCCACACCCACCCCCACACCCACCCACACCCACCCGCACCTACCCACACCTACCCACACCTACCCACACCTACCCACACCTACCCACACCTACCCACACCCACCCACACCCCCCACCCACCCCCCCCCCACACCCACCCACACCCACCCACACCCACCCACACCCCCCACACCCACAACCACCCCACGCCCCACACCCCCCCACGCCCACCCCACACCCACACCCACCCACACCCCACCCACCCACACCACCACACCCCGCCACCGCGCCAGAGACCCGACCAGACCCAGATCCCCCCCCTCCAGCACCCACCCACCCCACCACCCACCCCCACCCCAACCGACCCACCCTCCCACACACCCACACCTACCCACACCTACCCACACCTACCCACACTTACCCACACCCACACAACACA